CCCCGTTCTGCTGTCATTGCCCCGTTCTGCTGTCATTGCCCCGTTCTGCTGCCATTGCCCCGTTCTGCTGCCATTGCCCCGTTCTGCTGTCATTGCCCCGTTCTGCTGTCATTGCCCCGTTCTGCTGCCATTGCCCCGTTCTGCTGCCATTGCCCCGTTCTGCTGCCATTGCCCCGTTCTGCTGGCTTTGCCCCATTCTGCTGTCATTGCCCCGTTCTGCTGCCATTGCCCCGTTCTGCTGGCAATGCCCCGTTCTGCTGGCAATGCCCCGTTCTGCTGCCATTGCCCCGTTCTGCTGTCATTGCCCCGTTCTGCTGGCTTTGCCCCGTTCTGCTGTCATTGCCCCGTTCTGTTGTCAATGCCCCGTTCTGTTGTCATTGCCCCGTGCTATCGGTACAGAGCCGATTTTTCGGCCCAAGCCTAATTTTTTTTCTAAATAGCGCATGCGTTTCTAAATGGTTTTTAACTAGTCCTGAGCATAAAAAATACCCACATTTTAATTAAAAAATTTAATTTTAGGTCGAAAAATCCTATAGAACCTTTAGGATTAGCGGGGGGGGGGGAAGACCCAAAATGACTAAATTTTAGACTTTTTCAAACATTTTTCTAACTTTTTTGAAAGGTTTTCTACTTTAAATATAGTTAAAATTAACTAAAGACAATGTGAAAACACTTTATATTTGATTGCTAGGTCAACCGGGAAAACCAGGAAAAAATTTGGTTCCCCCCCCAGTTGTTCGAAATTTTTTCAAATTTTTGAGGCTTCTTTGGAGTAGTCAAAAATTTTCCGATCATAGAAATCAGAACTTGGAGTTGGGCAGAAAGTTCTGGGCCAAAAGCAAAATAAAAAATTGCGAGCGGGTTCGAAAGCTCGTCAGCAGGGTTGTTCACGGACGGGCCGGACAGGCTGACTACCCAATTTGCATAAAATTAGCGGACGGTTGGGACGGGCTGGGGAGCGGTCTGGACGGGCCGGGCTGGAGCGGGTTGGGGAGCGGGCTAGGGTCATCCGTCCGGCCGCGGACGCCCGCGGGCCGGGCTCGAAATGACCAACCCTGCTCGTCAGTATCCTATCAAGTCAGTCGCTTACCGCTCGGCCGCTTACCGCTCCACTGGTGGCTTCAATCTGATGGGAGAGCCTCATAAAGCTATCTCTAATGCTAATTTCTGGGATGCAAATCGTTATTTTCCGGAAGTGGTGTATCTCTGTCCCCGTCTATTTAGCTGATTCTGACTAGAACTTTGGAATCTCGATAGTCGAAAACCTAGGGGTAGCCGCGAGCGGCCTCCGGTCACTACCCCGAAATCGTTTACCCCGAAAAATGACAACATTGTTTTTCTCGGAAAATTCCAATTTTTATTTGGATTTCCTAGGAAAATCATGGAAATTATTTCGGGGCCGTGAGTTCACCCCCTCGCGAGCGTTTTTCCTAACTCCACCGTGCCAACTTGAGGTTCCCTTGTCTGTCCTGACTTTGCTTTGCTAAAATATGGCAAAGCTAGATTTCCATCAACAGAATTTCCGGGTATTTCCATTTATGCATAGCAATTCCTCGTCTATTCCTGTAACTCATTAGCATATTATTCGGCTAAACTCGGGGCTAAATTCAAGTATACGGTCACCTAGCCAAACCCAAACTTCCTACCTTATATAATTTTGGGGTGTATCTAGGGTTGTTATATGAGTTGACTTGCACGCAAGTTTGTTTGCCAGGAAATTTACTTGATCCGGCCAAGTTATTTTGTTGGCAAGTAAACTTGGGATGCAAACTCAACTCGATGGCAAAATAACTTGCCAAGTTTTGACTCGAATGCTGGCAAGTTTTTTTGGTGGCAAGTCAACTTGCCATGCAAATTCAGTTTGATGGCAAGTTAACTTGCCGGCAAAATAACTTGTCGGAAATCGCGTGATGTTAATTTATGCAAAATCGAAATTGTAAGATTTCCCAGACAAGGATCCTGGTGGAAAATGCCGACAGTGTCCATAAATACCGTGTCTAAAAGACCGAAATACCGACAGATGCTTTAACAACGCACCGCGCAAGGAAAAATCTCTCAAAAGAAAAAATAATACCGAACGACTACGGAATGTCTGACCATTGGCGAAATAGTGAAAATACCGACAATTAGCCAAACTTAAACATCGATAATGCCGTGTCCCTGGTAGATCGAGAACTTTAATAATTTTACCATTTACGACACGTGGATGTGGGATTAATGTGGTTTTCGGTATTTCGGTCTTTTAGACACGGTATTTATGGACACTGTCGGCATTTTCCACCAGGATCCATGTCTGGGAATTGCCATACTGTCTATTTCAGCTTACAATTTCGATTTTGCATAAATTAACATCACGCGACTTCCGACAAGTTATTTTGCAGGCAAGTTAACTTGCCATCAAACTGAGTTTGCATGGCAAGTTGACTTGCCACCAAAAAAATTTGCCAGCATTCGAGTCAAAACTTGGCAAGTTATTTTGCCATCGAGTTGAGTTTGCATTCCAAGTTTACTTGCCTGAAAATAACTTGCACGAAAATGAGCTCAAATCATTCAAGTAAACTCGAAGGCAAGTCGCAGTTTGCATAATTTTTGGCAAGTTAACTTGGGCTTAAGTGCAGTTTACCCCCCCCCAGCCCTAACTTTTCAGCCATACGTCCTATTAATGCGCCGAGTATCTCAAAATGTTCGCCGTGGTCGAATTACTATAAAAAAGTTGTTTTCTTACATCAAAAATTGTTAGAAAAAAATTTATAACAATTATAAGTCTGGGTTTTCTTTAGTTAATTTTTGCTGTTCCAAAGTGAGTTTTTGTATCTCGGCTATCTTTTGACGTACAGAGCTGTCAATAGTACCAAAATGTAGCTCTTGCTCTGGAGAATAAGCCTACAGTACGTTTGAGCCGAAAAAATAGCGAAAAATAAAAATATTTGAGTTTTTGACTCCTAGTACATCGAAGCATAGCGGCTTAATCTTTTCAACTTTCAAAATCTTGTAAAAAATTTTTTAGCAATTTTTGCCGCAAGAAAACAACTTTTTTATAGTAATTCGACCACGGCGAACATTTTGAGATACTCGGCGCATTAATAGGACGTATGGCTGAAAAGTTTGGGCTGGGGGGGTAAACTGCACTCTAACCTTAACTTGCATTCAAGTCAACTCATATAACAACCCTAGGTGTATCTCTGTGTGTGTGTGGATGTCACTTTCGAGGCCCGATTTAAGGGCCTTCCCCTGGATAAAATGCGTTGATTCTTTGTCACAAGGGGGAATCGACCCTCCTCTTTCCGATGGCGTTTTCAGGATTTTGATAAAATATAAGTTTACAAAGTTAAAGCCGGTTTTATTCATTTTTGGGGGTAATTTGCATAATATGAAAAAATACAAATCTCTTCATTCTTGCAATTTGCCCGCGCGTGTGTGGTCGGTGGGGGGAAGGGGTCCGAAGGACCCGAGCTATCGGAAGCCAAATTTTTCATGCAAAGGCCCAATTCCAGCGCCCAAGGCCCGCGAAGCGGGTTTTGGGCGCTGCTTTTATATATAGAAATGTTCAGCTCGACGAGCTGGTTCAGGATCAGTTAAAAAAAAGCAATTGGGAAACACTTTTGGAGCGAGATATAAGCGTCCAAAGTTTGACCACCAAAAGGGCCAAAAAAGGCCCATTTCCTTTGGATATTTCCCTCTAATACACTCAAACTTTACCTAAAACTAAAGCTTCGTGCCACCCGGGGCCTAGTCGCTTCGGTCGCGCGAGCTCGTACAGGGTTTCGAAATGGGGGCACCAAGGCCGGCGAAGCTTAAAAATTACAAACAAGTGTTATTGCAGAGGTACGTACGAATACAGACTACACCGCTCCGTACAAAGGAGTGTCGCGTAGCCGGAACTTTCCGAAAACTGAGTTTCAAACCTTCTAAACTTTCTTTATACATTTTTCCCAATGATTATTTAAACAGATATCGGCTCTGCTCGAAGAGCTGCACATTTCTATGCATAAAACATGCCTGTTTGGATAGGTGACCGTATACCTAACTAGCTAAATTTGGACCCCTATATCTCGCTCCAGAAGTGTTTCCCAATAGTTTTTTCAACTGATCCTGAACCAGCTATTCGAGCTGAGCTGAACTTCCGTCTGTCTGTCCGGAGGATATCTCGCTAGGGGATGAATTTTAAACTACATATGATACGTCATTAGGTGCGCATTGGTCTGGAGATGACTGCACACATCTAAAATCTTACAAAATCAGCGGTTTTCGACATTAAATTTAAGTTTTTGTGAAAATCTCTTTGTTAGAACAAATTAGCATAGACCGGAAGGAGGGATTCGACTATATAAAGGGGCAGAAGAAGTTGTTTTTCAATTTTTGTGATCAGAATGCAAGATAATTATGCAAAGGTTTAGGATAAAATGGGGTGAGACGGGGCCAGGGTTGAAAAGTCGCGAAGCGGCTTTTCAACCCTGGTATATAAATAAGTTGGGTTTGGCTAGGTGACCGTATACTTAAATTTTCCCAAACTCGGACCTTAGTGCGAGAACGTTAGTTGCTTGAATATCTTAGTTGAATAATAATCTCTCTAATCGGGACTGCGGCTTGGGAATCTGTCAAAATGTTGAAAACCAGAAATTTTCAAAATCTCGAAATTTCCATGGTCTAAATCAGCATCAAAGGCTGCGGAAATTGCACCCCGACTCCCTGAATCCAGCCTCTGCATATTTCGAGATGCTGAAAATTCGAGATTCTGAAAATTCAAGATTCTCAAAATTCGGATTCCGATTTTCGAGATGCTGATCTTCGAGATTCTGATAGGCATTCCTACGACTTCCATAGCGTTTTCCCATGCAAACGAAATTTTTATTGATTTAAGTCATGATTTGCATGCTAATCAGCTATTTTACCGGCTTTCAGAGAGTAAAATCCCATTAGCATCCACTTTTTCGATTTGCAGGAAAATCCTATACTTCTGCCTCTACCCCGGATCGGATTTGGATAGGATCCGGGTTGCCATGCAAATTAGTCCGATTCAATCCGGATACTCGATACCAAAGTGGCCAGGCCTAGTGCGGACGAAAACTCCGAACTTTAGAGCGTATCGCGTGCGATGGGTTCGTTTCTTCCGTCCGTTATATCGACTGCTCCAACGGATTGGGTCCATCCCTTCATTTAAATTGAGACTGAGCACCTCTTGGATAGGGGTAAGTTTTGTTGGTACCGCCGTGACGAAGCAAATTACACCCTCGGCCCTCGAAGCTCAAAAGCTAAAGCTTTTTGGCTACGGTTCAGTTTACCCCCGTTCGGTGGGCGGACATCTGCCCTAAAAGACACCTGTCCTAAAAGACACCTGCCCTAAAAGACACCTGCCCTAAAAGTCACCTGTCCTAAAGGACAGCTGTCCTAAAAGTCACCTGTCCTAAAAGTCGTCTGTCCTAAAAATCACCTGTCCTAAATTTTTTTTTATACCGTATTGCACCAAAATTTGTCATATCTTTCGTTCAGGACATTTCATCTGTCCTAAAATTCATCTATCCTTTAACATTTTCGTTCTAAAGCACATAATTGGGTGCAATACGGTATAAAAAATTTTTAGGACAGGTGATTTTTAGGACAGACGGCTTTTAGGACAGACGACTTTTAGGGCAGGTGTCTTTTAGGACAGGTGTCTTTTAGGGCAGGTGTCTTTTAGGACAGGTGTCTTTTAGGGCAGGTGTCTTTTAGGGCAGGTGTCTTTTAGGGCAGGTGTCTTTTAGGGCAGGTGTCCGGCAATCCCCCCCGAAATCGGTTGAGGTCCGAAAAGTTCATAAGGGGGGACCCTTATGATTTTTTTGTATAAAAATTTTTCTGCCTGCGGCGCTGTTTATTACTGTTTTTAAGGCAGTTTTTACTTCGATAAAGTCTATTTTTCCAAAATTTTTCGCCAGCGGCGCTGATTTTTCATTAGTGCATCAATGGTGTAAAAAATTTTTCGCCTGCGGCGCCTTTTTTGTGGGGTTTTGCCACCAATTTGATCATAACGAACACACTGTGCTAATTTTTTTTGTGCCTGTGGCGCTATTATTGACGCGATTTTCGGATGTTTTAAAAGTGGCGACCGGGGGGCGAGTCCAGCAGGCCTCTCGAAATTTTGAAATTCCGGACTTTTTCATCCATCCATTTCATCAATGGATAAATTGTGATTTTTGTAAAAAATCCTTTTATCCGAAAAGCATCAGAAATGCAGTCATTTTCGCAAAAATATTAGCAAAAGTAAGAAAAAATCCGGAATTTCAAAACTTCGAACGGCGTGCTGGACTCGCCTTGTCGAGAGCTCTCGATAGATAATCGGATATAATCGGATAAATCGGAAACGTCTCCGGACCGCTAGGTGTGTGTGTGTGTGTGTGTGTGTGTGTGTGTGTGTGTGTGTGTGTGTGTGTGTGTGTGTGTGTGTGTGTGTGTGTGTGTGTGTGTGTGTGTGTGTGTGTGTGTGTGTGTGTGTGTGTGTGTGTGTGTGTGTGTGTGTGTGTGTGTGTGTGTGTGTGTGTGTGTGTGTGTGTGTGTGTGTGTGTGTGTGTGTGTGTGTGTGTGTGTGTGTGTGTGTGTGTGTGTGTGTGTGTGTGTGTGTGTGTGTGTGTGTGTGTGTGTGTGTGTGTGTGTGTGTGTGTGTGTGTGTGTGTGTGTGTGTGTGTGTGTGTGTGTGTGTGTGTGTGTGTGTGTGTGTGTGTGTGTGTGTGTGTGTGTGTGTGTGTGTGTGTGTGTGTGTGTGTGTGTGTGTGTGTGTGTGTGTGTGTGTGTGTGTGTGTGTGTGTGTGTGTGTGTGTGTGTGTGTGTGTGTGTGTGTGTGTGTGTGTGTGTGTGTGTGTGTGTGTGTGTGTGTGTGTGTGTGTGTGTGTGTGTGTGTGTGTGTGTGTGTGTGTGTGTGTGTGTGTGTGTGTGTGTGTATATATATATATATATATATATATATTTGCATGCACTTCCGTTTGGATGTTCCGCACCTACAGCCTCAGACAAGCATCTTTTCGGTAGGGAAGAAACGTCATAGGGTAAAGAAGGGGCCGGAATCGAGGAAAGCCTAGCACTTTCCAGGGCCGTTTTAAGGAGATTTAACGTAGTGGACCGTTTTTCTGAGCTCTTTTGCTACAAAGTGGTCGAAACCAAAAGATCAAAAAAATTGAGTCCACTGAGTTGGAGGCCAAAACACCAAAGCCGCAAAAACCCGATTACAACTTTCCCCCAGAGGGTGATAGTTGAACGGGCCGGAAAACCTGGTGTCCCGTCTTGCTTAAGCGTGAAAACGTTTTAACTAAAAGATGTCCTTGTCAGGGTTCCCTGGGGGTAAACCAAAGTCCAACCGCTTTCTTATTAAAGCCCTGCTGCTTACAGCAAAAATTATGCGGAAGCAGCGCTATCTCCAGTTAATCGATTCCATTTCAGTCAATCTACCCGAGCCCTTTTTTCGACATGGACATGCGGCCATACTCGTGGTACTGGATGCATGGGGAGGTGCGTCCTTCGGGCTTATTTACAAATTATCGAAAATCGTAACGTCGAAATTCATGATGTCGAAATGTCAAATGTCGAAATTTCATAATGTCGAAATTTCAAAATGCCGAAATTTCAGAATGTCCAAATTTACATAGGCTATTATTCGCGGTGAAATCTTTCCTAAAAGTCATCTTTCCTAAAAGCAGACATGGCAACGGGCCCGGCCGCGGGGCTTTTTCGGCCCCAAAAATTTGCATGCGGCCGGGCCGACGGGGCTCGGCCCCACTTCCGGCGGGGCCGGGGCTCGGCTTTGCTCGACGGCCCCGGGATAAGCCAAAATGGGGGCCGAGCCCGGGGCCGCAAGGCCGCACGCTAATCAGAAATCCCGGTTGTAAATCACCTTCAGTCAAAATATTCATGCAAATTGGAAAAAATGATTTTTTCAAAGGTTGCCATACATATCCATGTCTATTGCAGCCAGATCATAACGGGTTCAGACCTGTATTTTAGTACTTTTTGATAGTTGGGACGAATTATTAACCAAGTTCAATGAATTTTACCGATACCGATGTCCTAACAGCCCGAACGCACATAAAATTTTCATTGCAAATTTGCATATTAGCATCCGAATTTAGACGCAAATCAGCTACTTTAGTTTCCGGGGCCGAGCCGAATCGGCCGAGCCCGGCCCCGGAAAATTCGGCCGAGCCCGGGCTCGGCCCCGCGAATTTGCATATTTTTTCGGGCCCCGGAAGCGGGTGTTTTTTTTCATGTTAATTAGATTCCAGGCCCGGCCCCGGGGCTCGGCCGCCCGGAATTGCCATGTCTGCCTAAAAGTCATCTTTCCTAAAGTCATCTTTCCTAAAAAAGATTTTTCCTAAAACTAGGTAATCGTTTAACAATAATTTTCCTCATCTTTTTTCTAAAAATCATTTCTTTTGAAGATTAATGACATCGGAGCCTATCCTCGGCGCCGATAAAGTGTAAGAGCGGAGTCGTGAACTTGTGAGCTGTGAACTTTGTATATCCGAAATCTAGACGAAGCAGGCAATCGTTCTAAACAATGTTCCGGTCGGCCGGCGTCAGAGGAAGCGGCCACCTCTACAGGTATAGTTGCACACCTCACAAACCTTCTGTTTTGTATTTTTGAGAGGTTAGAAAGTGGACGACACTTACAAGGGAAGTGCATGACCGGCCTACGAGAAATCGACACGAGACATAGTGGATCTGATAGAATCGGCCACGGGGATTCCGAATCTGTGATCAGAATCTGCTAAATAAAACGGAGAAAAAAGTTATCTACTATACAGGGTGTCCCAAAAAACAAAAAAACCCCCCCAAAAATTTGAGCCAGAGGGCACCTACGGAGCTGAAAATTTGCACAGAGGTAGCGAAGGCAATTTTCTATGAACAAGGAAAGTTTCAGCCCGATCGGCCAGCGGGTTTTAAAGTTATAGCGAAAATACTTTTCATTTTTAATTTAATATGGGGATCGTTTTCCAAAAGCTCCATAAAGAAAATGGCACTTTTCGGCAAAATTTATGCAAAATCGGCTCGTAAATGCAAGAATAACGCATATCTTTGATGCAAATTTCAAAGATCCCCATATTAAATTAAAAATGAAAAGTATTTTCGCTATAACTTTAAAACCCGCTGGCCGATCGGGCTGAAACTTTCCTTGTTCATAGAAAATTGCCTTCGCTACCTCTGTGCAAATTTTCAGCTCCGTAGGTGCCCTCTGGCTCAAATTTTTGGGGGGGTCTTTTTTTTTGGGACACCCTGTATATCTACTATATATCACTTATATATAAATTTCTAATGTCCGTGCGCCCGTCCGCCCGCCCGTCCGCCCGTCCGACCGGATCGCTGCGGGACCCCAGGACCGGTTCGGACGGGTCCGGGAGCCCGGGACGTTTCGGAATTTCGGGATTTCGGTGTATGGGTTCTTTCAAGGGTATTCTAGCCATTACGCGTTTCTTAGATGTTTTTTTAGTAGCCAAGAAGGGGAAATAACTTTCTTTCAAGGGTATTCTAGCCATTACGCGTTTCTTAGATGTTTTTTTTAGTAGCTAAGAAGGGAATGAAATTTCTTTCAAGGGTATTCTAGCCATTACGCGTTTCTTAGATGTTTTTTTTAGTAGCTAAGAAGGGAATGAACTTTCTTTCAAGGGTATTCTAGCCATTACGCGTTTCTTAGATGTTTTTTAGTAGCTAAGAAGGGGAAATAACTTTCTTTCAAGGGTATTCTAGCCATTACGCGTTTCTTAGATGTTTTTTTTAGTAGCTAAGAAGGGAATGAAATTTCTTTCAAGGGTATTCTAGCCATTACGCGTTTCTTAGATGTTTTTTTTTAGTAGCTAAGAAGGGAATGAACTTTCTTTCAAGGGTATTCTAGCCATTACGCGTTTCTTAGATGTTTTTTTTAGTAGCTAAGAAGGGAATGAACTTTCTTTCAAGGGTATTCTAGCCATTACGCGTTTCTTAGATGTTTTTTAGTAGCTAAGAAGGGGAAATAACTTTCTTTCAAGGGTATTCTAGCCATTACGCGTTTCTTAGATGTTTTTTTTTAGTAGCTAAGAAGGGAATGAACTTTCTTTCAAGGGTATTCTAGCCATTACGCGTTTCTTAGATGTTTTTTTTTAGTAGCTAAGAAGGGAATGAACTTTCTTTCAAGGGTATTCTAGCCATTACGCGTTTCTTAGATGTTTTTTTTTAGTAGCTAAGAAGGGGAAATAACTTTCTTTCAAGGGTATTCTAGCCATTACGCGTTTCTTAGATGTTTTTTTTAGTAGCTAAGAAGGGAATGAACTTTCTTTCAAGGGTATTCTAGCCATTACGCGTTTCTTAGATGTTTTTTTTAGTAGCTAAGAAGGGAATGAACTTTCTTTCAAGGGTATTCTAGCCATTACGCGTTTCTTAGATGTTTTTTTTTAGTAGCTAAGAAGGGAATGAACTTTCTTTCAAGGGTATTCTAGCCATTACGCGTTTCTTAGATGTTTTTTTTAGTAGCTAAGAAGGGAATGAACTTTCTTTCAAGGGTATTCTAGCCATTACGCGTTTCTTAGGTGTTTTTTAATATCAAAGAAGGGGAAATAATGTTAACGTTAACCATTAGACTTCCCTTCTCTTTTTGTTTAGGATCAGCTACGGATGTTGGGGGGTTTCTTTCAGGGGGAATAGGAGGAGTGGAAGGTTCTTTGCTTTTGGAGGAGGTGCATAGGTAGATCATGGAAGGTATCCGCTCCAAGCGGGAAATATACAAAAGAGAATGGGAAGCACTGTGTATTGCCTTGCCCCCCGGGAGGGCCAGGCAAAAAAAGCCGCGAAGCGGCTTTTTTTGACTGGTAAATTTCTAATGTCCGTACGCCCGTCCGACCGACCGGGGATTCAATCCCGCCACGAACCCCCTGAATACCGTAGTCGGGGGCTGAAAATTTTCACCGGAGCTCTAAGCGTTTCGTCTTTTCCCTTTTCCCCCCGGGAGGGCCAGCGCTGAACCCCCGCGGAGCGGGGGGTCAGCGCTGGTATACTTCTAATGTCCGTGCGCCCTTCGACCGTCCGACCGACCGGGAATTCAGCCAAATTTTGCATTCAAATTCCAAATTAAAAAATTTTTGGGGCAGAGGGCCAGCGCTGAACCCCCGCGGAGCGGGGGGTCAGCGCTGGTGAAGCTTCGAAATTGGTAAAATCGCCCAAAATCGGACTTTTATGGGCCTGTAAAGGCCAGGGGAATGGAAATTTGCCACAACCCATTAGTGCATCTTGGGTACACATAGGGTAACGGGGGTGGGGGTATAAAATAACGGGGGGGGGCACTCATTATTATGAAATTTGCAATTACTGAGGGATTTTGCGAGTGCCATTCGATAGAGCGGCGAAAAATATACTAAGAGAATTAATTTGAGCCCAAAATAATGTAATGGAAATTTTTTATTGCATAAACAAAAATTGAGGAAAATCTATGGGCAGCACATAGGATAACGGGGGGAAGTCAAATTTTCGAAATTTTCGAAATTTTCGGTATTTTGAAAACGTCATTCGATAAAGCGTCGAAAACTGCCCTAGGAAAATCAATTTCAGCCCGAAATAATGTAAATGAAATTTTTTATCGAATAAACAAAAATTGATCAAAATCCATGGGCAGCACATAGGATAACGGGGGAAGCCAAATTTTTGAGATTTTCGATATTTTTAAAACGCGAATCGATAGAACATCAAAAAATATACTAAGAGATTTTTTTACAACGCGAAAAAATGTATTATAAAAGTTTTATAGCCTAAAAACTATTTTTGAAAACTATGGGCAGCACATAGGATAACAGGGGGGGAATTTTCGGCGTTTTGAATATTTTCGAGATTTTGAAAATGCCATTCAATAGAGGACCGAAAAATATAATAAGAGTTTTTTTACAGCCCGAAAAAAGCATATTTAAAAATACTTTTATCATATAAAAGGTTTGAGTGCCCCCCGTTATTCCCCCGTTATCCTATGTGTACCGCATCTTGTTCAGCAGAAAAATCTCTTTCGACTGAGCTATTTTACTTCAAGTTTACGATGATTTCGCGGAAATCTCTTCTATGAACTTGACAGGCCATACCCTTGCCCGTGAATCCAAAAAAAAACCTTTTTCAGTGAATTGTTTGCAAATGGTACGTATTACAGCTCATTCGAAAGCGCTTTTTCTGCTGAACAAGATGCACTAATTCTTTTCTCCTCAATTCGGTTCCCCCGGTTTTTACGGGCCCTTAAAGGTACGGTTTTTGGCGATTTGGCCAACTTTGAAGCTTCATAACTTTTTTCTCCGTTCTATTTAGCAGATTCTGGTTACAGATTCGGAATCCCCGTGGTCGATTCTATCAGATCCACTATGTCTCGTGTCGATTTCTCGTGGGCCGATCGTGCACTTCTCTTGTAAGCCTAGGACCAGCGCCAAGGGCCATTTTTGGGACCAGCGCCGGCCGCCCCATGGCCAAATCCGTATCACACTGGGTGGGACATTAAGGGTGGCCAGCTGGTATTAGGTTGGAACATAAGTTCGCGCAATCGAAATTTGGAAATTTCTTTCTGAAAATTTAGTGGCCAGATTCCGATGTTCCCTCTTTGCATTTATTTATTGGGTTCATGGGTATGTGGGATCAAAATTACAGGTTTTTAGCCCCAGTAGTTTTGAAGATTTTTGCGTTTCTCTCGAGGGCATTTCAAATTTTTGACCCGGACATCCTTCCGAACCGCCATAAAGTCACCATAGGAACTGATCATCACTATAATAATAAGTTATATCTATCAGCTGCATGCCGAATTAGCCTAAAAAGGAAGCCAATTTTGTTTTGCACAGGCGGGCTCAGCGATTTTTCAGTTTCGCTTAAAACTAGCTTTAAAAAATTCTAATAGGGAAGCAACGCGATTCCGTCCCACACATCGAATAGAGAATTTTATTGCATATCCGGTCATCCAAAAAACATTTTGGTTCTTGCCCGTTGTTCGGTCCGAAAATTAAAAAGAAAGAAAAATATTGCGCGAACTTTAGTTCCAACCTAATAGTAGGATATAGTAGCAGATTTTGCTTGCAAAATTCGGCTGCATATAGTTTTTATGCATTACCATCGCTGGAAACAAAAAGTTCAACTCGATCGGATAGAATAAGATCAAGTGCCGAGCGGCCCTTTTTTGATTTGGACACCCCTGTAGATCGAGCCGCTCGTCGCTTCCCTTCGACACGTCGGCCGCTGCGATCTGTCGGGCTGTACTGCACACGCCATTTCCGGGATCATTAAATTTCTCGGATGCAGACCGGAGTCTGTGGCAAATCATCTCGTTGACGTAAGTCAACTTGCATATTTCCTTGTTTGTGCAAATGTGTGTGTGTGTGTGTGTGTGTGTGTGTGTGTGTGTGTGTGTGTGTGTGTGTGTGTGTGTGTGTGTGTGTGTGTGTGTGTGTGTGTGTGTGTGTGTGTGTGTGTGTGTGTGTGTGTGTGTGTGTGTGTGTGTGTGTGTGTGTGTGTGTGTGTGTGTGTGTGTGTGTGTGTGTGTGTGTGTGTGTGTGTGTGTGTGTGTGTGTGTGTGTGTGTGTGTGTGTGTGTGTGTGTGTGTGTGTGTGTGTGTGTGTGTGTCTGTGTGTGTGTGTGTGTGTGTGTGTGTGTGTGTGTGTGTGTGTGTGTGTGTTGTGTGTGTGTGTGTGTGTGTGTTGTGTGTGTGTGTTGTGTGTGTGTGTGTGTGTGTGTGTGTGTGTGTGTGTGTGTGTGTGTGTGTGTGTGTGTGTGTGTGTGTGTGTGTGTGTGTGTGTGTGTGTGTGTGTGTGTGTGTGTGTGTGTGTGTGTGTGTGTGTGTGTGTGTGTGTGTGTGTGTGTGTGTGTGTGTGTGTGTGTGTGTGTGTGTGTGTGTGTGTGTGTGTGTGTGTGTGTGTGTGTGTGTGTGTGTGTGTGTGTGTGTGTGTGTGTGTGTGTGTGTGTGTGTGTGTGTGTGTGTGTGTGTGTGTGTGTGTGTGTGTGTGTGTGTGTGTGTGTGTGTGTGTGTGTGTGTGTGTGTGTGTGTGTGTGTGTGTGTGTGTGTGTGTGTGTGTGTGTGTGTGTGTGTGTGTGTGTGTGTGTGTGTGTGTGTGTGTGTGTGTGTGTGTGTGTGTGTGTGTGTGTGTGTGTGTGTGTGTGTGTGTGTGTGTGTGTGTCTGTGTGTCTGTGTGTCTGTGTGTGGCTGTGCGCGCGCGCGGATGTCACTTTCGAAGCCCGATTTGAGGGCCTTCCTGTGCATAAAACGCTCTGATTCTTCGTCACTTGAAGGAATCGACCCTTCTGTTTCCGATGGCGTTTTCAGAATTCCGATAAAATATAAGTTTACAAAGTTAAAGCCTGTTTTATTCGTTTTCGGGGGTCCCTGAAGGCTAATTTGCATAATGTGAAAAATAGAAATTTCCTCATTCTTGCAAGTTGCTCTCGCGTGTGTGGTCGGTTGGGTAGCTTGGGTCCAAAGGACCGAAGCTATCGGAAAGTCAGTTTCTCATGCAAGGGCCGTATTCCAGCGCCCAAGGCTCGGCTTTGTCTAAAATGGGCTGTACCGGCTGTTAATTACAAATAGTCTGCACAGGATAGGCTTGGTCTTGTCCCGAAGTTCCGACGACACTCAAAAACGTCTCGCTGTAGGTTGAGACATTATGAAATTTAGGCATTCTGAAATTTTAGGCATCGTCATTTTATGCATTTTGTAATAGCAAATCCCATCGCGGGCATGGCTTTTCTGCTTCCCAGGCTAAAGTCTAGTTTACCCCCCCAGCCGTAACTTTTCAGCCATGCGTCCTATTAATGCGTGGAGTATCTCAAAATGTTCGCCATGGTCTAAGTACTATAGCGAAATTATTTCCTTACATAAAAATGGTTAGAAAATTTTTACAAGATTTTGAAAGTTGCGAAGATTAAGCCGCTATGCTTCAATGTACCAGGAGCCTAAAACTCAAATATCTTTATTTCCGCTATTTTCGAATCAAATTCACTGTAGGCTGATTCTCCAGATTAACAGCTACATTTTGGTACCATTGACAGCTCTGTAGGACTAAAAATAGCCGAGATACGAAAACTCACTTTCGACCAGCGAAAATTAACTAAAGAAAGCCCAGACTTAAGATTGTTACCAAAATTTTTCAAACAATTTTTGATGTAAGGAAACAACATGGCTATAGTAATTCGACCACGGCGAACATTTTGAGATAATCGGCGCATTAATAGGACGCATGGCTAAAAAGTTGGGACTCGGTGGTGGGGGGGGAAGCTGGACTCTTACCGCTTCCCACTTCCGAGCAACAATTATTTTTAGGTATGGACTCTCTACGGACTGCACGAGGTGGGTTTATTTTATTTACACGTGCTGTATTTGCCGGGTTGACTTTGGCAAATACAGCAAATTGTCAGGTTTATTTGAGGAACACGATTTCCGATCTTCGACACTGTTCTAAAAGAAATAATGGCCCAGAATGTGTGCCTGCGGGACCTGAACGTTCTACAGGGTGTCCCAAAAATACCCGGGCAAAACGTTGTTAAAGGAGGAGTTCTTTAGGGCATATGATATTACCAGATGGTTCCAGTCGCTTCGCGACTGTAACCATCTGGCCTTCGGGCGATCCTATATATATATAGTAGGATACACCCTTGTGCAAAGTATGGACCAATCGGATGTGACACGGCGAAATGCCGGAGGGGTGATTTTTGGGACACCCTGCATAACAGCCAAAATCAAATAGCGACTTCCAAAATCCCGACAGCCAGAATGCCATATTTCCGGTCGTTTACCCATAATTGTTTCTAAAATTGAGGTTTCTGACTGTCCGGATTTTGGGAAATTGGCGTTTGGCGTTTGGCGGTCTCAAGCTCCATTGTATACTTTTAGGGGATGGCAGATGAGCAATTGGCAAAGCGGATTGAACTGGCAAAATGGGCAACGCGAGCATTCGTGTGTAATGGTGGCAGGGTGGATAATTGCTTGCGGATCCTTCGGGTTTGTCTATCGGTTAACTCTCGGAATCAAAAAAAAACCCCTAAGCTGAATCGCTGAACGGGGGGCAAATAACGGGGGGGACCGATATGACCTTATGCGGCCTCGTGGTACCTATTCATGCATTCCATCGGATAGAGCGACAAAGATTATACTAGGAGATTTAATTTCAGCCCGAAAAAACTTCATTGCCGTGACCCTGATTTTTAAATTAATTAAAAAGGCCTTTTTCGGTCGATCGCAGCTCGTTTTTCGGGATTTTTCAACATTTGCCTATGGTTGAACAATCGATTTTTTTATGCATCTTACCACAAAAATTTGTAAAATTTTTTATGTTTGGAAATGGTAGTCCCGCTATCCGTATTTGAAAAAATGAATTCTAAGAAAAATTTTGTCCCCCCTGATAATGCAAAAAAAACCAAAAAAACATGGTCGTAAAATCACTATTGGTTTGGTGGAAACAAGGTGATTTTAGGAAATTCTGTCCAGAGGTGCAGAACTAACACCCGGCACCATCTACACAATCAACTTTCGAAACCCGAGACGGGGCGAAACGAAAGTGCTCAAGGTAATTTTGCTCCGTTCTATCAGCTGACTACAGCCACTTCGTGAAAAAAAGTAGAAAAAGTTTTCGATTAAATATTAAATTTGGCTTTGAAAGTGCCCCCTTACAAGGAGACGTTTTTGCGTGACATTCCAGATTGGTTTTTCAAATTTTCTTAATCGCCGAGAAGTTCGAAAAAAATTAATTTTAAAACCAGGGTTGAAAAGCCGCTTCGCGACTTTTCAGCCCTGACCGCCTTCGACTTAGTTTACGCTTTGCATCGGTGCGACCCACGATGAAAAAGTGAAAAAAGGCGCTCTCTGCTCCTTTATATAGGCTACCCCCACTTCCGGTGTATGCTAATTGATTATTAACCAAGGGGGTCTCGTATTTTTCAAAAAAAAAATTGAAATTTAATTTCGAAAATAGGTTGTTTTGATAAATCTGATACGCGTGCAGTTTTCTCCAGACCATTAAGCACCTAATGGCGTATCAAACCTGCCGCTAACTACCCTCTTGCTTGACATACTGCTGGAACACGCTGACGGAAGTTGCCTGCAAAGTGGCACGGACACATACACACTATTTTTTATACAGGGTGTTCCAAAAAAAAAGCACCCCTCCGGCATTTCGCCGCCTTACATCTAATCGGTCCCAAAATTGGACTGGAGGTGTATCAGACCCTAAATAACCACAATCCTGAGTTATAGCCGGATCGCTACAGTAGTTTTCGAGTTATCGTCAAGATACTGTTTTTTACGCGGTTCTTAACAGTTTTTTCGGCTATCTTTTTGGACTTTGCATCGATTTGCATCGACTTCCGGCTGCGAATCCCTAATTTCGCTTGAGAACTTCGGTAATTTTGTGTTGTAAAAATCGCTTAAATCGACGGTTATTTGATTAATTTTAGTCAGGAAAAAATTTCTTAAGGTAAATAAGGCCTACCTAATCATTTTCACTTAATGTTTAGGGGTCTAACTTCAAACTAACCCGATGAAAACTGGAAATTATAGTCCATTTTTGTGATAACTTTAAAACTACTGTAGCAATACGGCTAAAAGTCAGGATTGTTGTTATTTAGGGCCTGATACACCTCTGGTCCAAATTTGGTCCAAATCCAAAATAACCACAATCCTGACTTATAGCCCGCCAGCTACTGTAATCTTCGAGATACAACAAAAATAAACTTTATTATCCGTTTTTCATATGGTTTTCGTCGGAATCGACCCTTCGAATATTAAGTGAAAATGAAGCGGCAAGCCTGCTTTACCCCTAAAGATTTTTTTCTGGTAAAAATTAATGAAATAACCGTTGATTTCAACAATTTTTGTAACGCAAAGTCACCCCCGATATTAAGCGAAATTAGGGATTCGCAGCCGGAAGTCGATGCAAATCGATGCAAAGTCCAAAAAGATAGCCGAAAAAACGGTTTCGAATTGCGTGAAAAACAGTATTTTGGCTATAACTTGACCACTACTGTAGCGATCGGGCTATAACTTAGGATTGTTGTTATTTAAGGTCGTTAATGGCTAATTTCGAGTTTCCCTCTGGTCCGCCATTTCGGAGTGCTTGGGGAGCGGTCGCTTAGGCCTAATAAGGAGTGCTTTTTCGAGTCATCCTGGAAACCGTTCGAGACATAGCTCATTCGATAGAGAATTCAATTCTGAACAAGGTACGCTTGTTCATTTTTGCAAACTGTCAATCCCCGATTTTATAAAATTAAAAAACTAAAAATGACACTTCCGGCCGCCGCACCTCTGGTAAATCGACACGCGGGACAAGAACGCCCCCGTGCCCTCCCCACCACCGTCAGTGGTAGCGCAGTGGCTAACGCCGTTGCTTTCGAATCTTTTTTTGCTCCCGATTGGAAGGTTCGGTTCTTCTCGGCTCGATTTCTTTTGCTTTTTGCAAAATAATGCTTTTAGCTGCGCAAGCTGATCTCTTTGCATTCGGAGCCGACGCGAGCCTGGTTTTACTTCCCGGGGATTCGGAAAGAGCCAGAAATACAACCAGAAATATCCAGTACCTGAGCACAATGCTCGCCAGACTTCGCGAACCATGTTTTAGCAAAAAGCAAAAACATCGACCCGGGAAGGATTCGAAAGCAACGGCGTTAGCTACTGCGCTACCACCGACGGTGGTGGGGAGGGCACGGGGGCACTTTTATCCCGGGCGTCGATTTACCAGAGGTGCGCCGAGCCTTGCGCCGGAATGTCATTTTTAGTTTTTTAAGTTTATCAAATCGGGGGATTGTCATTTTGCAAAAATGAACAAGCGTATCATGTTCAGAATTCAATACTCTATCGAATGAGCTATGTCTCGAACGGTTTCCAAGATGACGCGAAAAAGCACTCCTTATAAGCCTAAGAGAGTAAGCCGAACTGTCGGACCAAATGGAAAATAACTCCAAATTAGTCGTTTTAAAATTATCTTTCTCGAACGTGTCGGCGATTAAAGGGATACCCAATGTTTTTGCGGCAAATATATAGTTATGTATTCCGGAGAGTACAAATGACGCGCGAATTTTGTGCGGGAATGGGTGCCCAGTGCCGCACAGAATTCGGACCCCTTTCCCTCTTGTGGCGTCCCCATCCCAAGCAATGGCTTGCCACTATGGCCTAATGGATAGCATCCAGGTCTTCAAGAGGGTCCGGGGTTCGACCCCCGCCCGCGTCGTGGTTTTTGCTTTTTGAGCCTCGGAAAGGTTGGGTATCCCTTTAAGCAAATTTGGAAAAAGCAACCTGATTTGTTCAGATTTTTTTCTGCATCGAATGAGCTAGCTTTGATTACCAATCTGGGATGTCACGCAAAAACGTCTCCTTGTAAGGGGGCACTTTCAAAGTCATATTTAATATTTAGTCGAAAACTTTTCCACTTTTGTTATCATTATGGTGGTTTCCGACCGTGCTCTCGTCGAATCCGAAGAGACCTGAGCTCTAGCTCCTTTCCCCTTCGAGTTGAATTCGGCTTCACACGGACGGAAAAAGACCACGGCAAAATTATTATAGTTGATGATACATGATTATTATTACACGATTTTAGAAAGAAGTGGAAAAACTGGTGCTGGGCAGACGTTTGAATGAAGTCGATGATCAGGACGAGATCTCGCGGATACGCGACGCCCATGAGCGCTATATGCCGGTGTGTTCAGTGGGCTTGCAGAGTGTCCCCACATAAAGCACCCCTCCGGCGATTACCTATCATTATCTCGAAAATCAACATCTCGAAAATCAACATCTCGAAAGTTCATTATCTCGAAAGTTAATTATCTCGAAAGTTCATTATCTCGAAAGTTAATTATCTCGAAAGTTCGTTATCTCGAAAGTTAATTATCTCGAAAGTTCGTTATCTCGAAAGTTCGTTATCTCGAAAGTTCGTTATCTCGAAAGTTCGTTATCTCGAAAGTTCATAACCTTGAAACTCGGTCCTTACCATTCTACTCCACCTTTTGTTATCAACCCGATATTGATGTCACAAATAAAATAAAAAACATTTATTCCGATCATTTAATCAAAGGTCTGGGCAATTAACTTGACGAATTTAATGGTTTCATAAGCATCATAGCTCTCGCAGAGGGCTTGTCGCGCCTGGCAGTCGGGACGCAGCTCTTTAGCCTTGTATCCTTGTTGCTGCATTTCCAGAATTCGACTGTTCGAAATATTTAACTTTCGAGATAATGAACTTTCGAGATAAATAACTTTCGAGATAACGAACTTTCGAGATAATTAACTTTCGAGATAATGAACTTTCGAGATGTTTATTTTCGAGATGTTGATTTTCGAGATGTTGATTTTCGAGATAATGACAGAACCCCCCTCCGGCATTTGGACGTATTAAATGTGACATCCATACTTTGCAAAGGGGTGTATCGGACCATAAAATAACCACAATTCTGAGTTAGGCCGATCGCCTGACAGTGGCTCTCGAGGTATCGCTAAAATACAGGGTGTCCAAAAACCCCCCCCCCCCACCCCTTGGCATCTGGCCTTCTTCTATCGGATCGAGACCAAATTTTTGTCAGTGATGGGGACCCATAAAAACTATGTGCAGCCGAATTTTCTAATCAAAATATTGTAAAACAAAAAAATTACAGCTAAAAAACTCAATTTTTTGGCGACGCCGGTACCGATTTTTGGCTATGTTCTCGCAATTAGCATGCCAATTTTGAGTAATTTGCCGAAAAATTGTCATTTTCTGGCCGGTTTCTGCCGATTTTGGGAATAAAAAGTGAAAAAAGTCCAAATTTAGAAGTAACCAGTGTTGAAAAGCCGCTTCGCGACTTTTCAACCCTGGCCCCGTCTGACCCCATTTTATCCTGCACTTTGCATAATTTTCCTGCGTGCAGACAACAAAAACTGAAAAACAACCTCTCCTGTCCATTTATATAATCAAATCCCCATTTCCGGTCTATCCTAATTATTCCTAACAAAGAAGTTTTCACAAAAACTTAAATTTAATGTCGAAAATCGTGATTTTGTTGAATCTAAAATGCGTGCAGTCATCTCCAGACCATTGCGCACCTAATGACGTATCAAACATGCCTTTAACTACTCCCCTTATTGAGATACTACTGGAACAACCTGACGGAAGTTGCATGGAAATGTACACAGACACACACACAGACACAATTTTTTTTATATAGTAGGATTTTCGTAAGTCAAAAAACTCCTCCGGCTGGAAAAAAGTGCCCTCTTCATCTTTACTAAACATTTCGAGGTCGAAATCCGTCAAAATCCCAGTGAAATCGGAATTATAAACCGTAATTTCGACTTTTTTGTTTTACAATATTTTGCTGAGAAATGTCGGACTACGACCGGAAAAAAGAAATGCCGCGTGGACGACGTCCGTTCGTCCACCCGTGATTTCTTTTCTTTATAATTTGTTTTCTTTTGATCGCGCCTTCCTCACCCCGTATTTTAGGCGGTTTATGCGGTACATCGATCGCACTACTACCAGCCCAAATGTCATGAACCAGGTAGGTAACACCTCGCTTTTCATGAAATCGACCCCCTCTTGCGGGCCGCCATCATGTCCGATTGTGACGATTTCGGTATCTATCGACAGCTCTCGAAAAGGCGAGAAAACAAGCACTTTATGTTCTTCTTTATAGTCATTTTAATCCACTAAATTTAGGCCGAAAATCCATGAAAACTGCAAATTTTATGCAATTGCAGCATGCTAATTGCTTGCTAAAGCAAACATAGCGATGCTGATTTTACTCTTTTTGAGAAATCGTTGAATATCGAGCGCGGGCTAAAAAAATTTGTAAAACGAAAAGCACTTGTTTTCTCGCCTTTCCGAGGGCTTTCGAATGGTGTAAAAACCATCCCGATCGGACCTTTCTCCGCCCCACTAGAGGGGGGTCGATTGTTTTGGGACACCCTGTACTTGACGAGTTCCATTCGCTATGCCGAATTTTGCTATGCCGATTGACGCTGTGCCGATTTCCGCTATGCCGAATTTTCGCTAAACCGAATTTTCACTATGCCGAATTTTCACTATACCGAATTTCGCCATGCCGAATTTTTAGTATACCGAATTTTCACCATGCCGATTTTCACGATACCGAATTTTCACCATGCCGAATCTTCGCCATATCAATTTTGATAATCGGTATGTTCCCCATTTTTTTTACTATTTTTCCAAATATCATGGGTCTAGAAAGTTAGAGTTAGCCTAGAAATTTCCAAAAAAATAGCGAAAATTCGGTATAGCGAAAATTCGGTATACTAAAAATTCGGTATAGCGAAATTCGGCATAGTGAAAATTCGGCATAGCGAAATTCGGCATAGCCAAAATTCGGCATACCAATAATCGGCATACCGTAAATCGGCACAGCTAAAATCGGTACAGCAAGTATTTACCGTACTTGACACACCTGTAGATGAACAGGCGGCCTAGCTATAAAAGTTGGGTGCCGGCTGGGGGGGGTAAACTACACTCTAACCGAATGTATATTTTCAGGTGCATTGATTATGTATCGCAGGGCATCTGCACTGGAAGTGGCCGTATCATGCACTATAAGCATTTCGATTATGTTCGATGACGCCACCGTCCAGACAACAATCTGAACAGTTCCCATTTTTCTCCACATTTCTTTGCGATTTTGAATTAATAAATACCGTCGGCCAAACAAAACGATTCCGAAACGCCGCGAGTTTTGATTTCCCATCTTCGGCTTGTCTCCAAAATCACGGAATTTCACGGCCTTCAAAAAAATGTCAAACATTTTAGGTTGATTTTCAGCAACCTGTTCATCTGGTTCAAGTCTGTCAAACACGTGAGAGATTTGTTGCCACGAGAGCCGTCTGATGTCAACAGTCCTTATCATTCCTGAAAATTGATTTGAAAACGCCGTTCGATAGAGGGCCCAGCCTCCGGCAGACACCGCTCTTCAACTGACACCGGGTCCCTCGCCTCCACCCCTGGTCCCCCCTCACGGCTCGTCAGGCCTTACCAAAAACGCACTTCGGGGGTGCGGGCCCTCTCCCTGCGGATAGTGGGTTAACCTCCCAGGCGAGCCCCCCACACCCCCCGGGTTCGGTTCCTCTGCGGCGCAAACTCCCCCATTTTGGTGATCTTTGTTTTGCGTTTTGCTCCAATGTATCACCGAAGTTCTACTGTAACACAAAATCAAATAATACTCGCGAAAAAGCCCGAGAACATAGCAAAAAGCGGCAGAAACCGTTTTAACAAAGTGAGTCCAAAACAGACGTAATTTCGCTCCATAATCAGCTTTCAGGGTTGCTATTACATTTTTTTTGGCTTAGTAACGATAATAAGCGCTCTGATGCGTTTATATTAGCAAAATTGGGCTACAGATCACGAAGCTCCTGCTCCAAGCGTCCAAGTGCCCGACTATCATAGCTATTTGCTTAATAGGGGGTTCATAATTCAGCAGTTTTTCGATTAATTCCACATTAAATTGATATACAGTGCGTGCCAAAATGATAGTGGAATGGCGTTTTAGCCGTTTTCTCGGCCGTCCTCCATTTCCGTGTAAAACAAAATCATAGGTCCAATAGCCCGAAAAAGACGCGTCTTTTGGTCTACTTGAAATCTTTCTACGATGCAGGATAACAGTTTTACAAGCGATTGAATAAAAATAGGGGAAAAACACAAGTGACAAAATGATAGGGGAATCATTAACATATCATTTCCATCAACTTTCCGTATGAATAGTGGATGTTGATTGATTTTAATTACAGATTCATAGCCGGAGAAGATGTAAAAATCGTATTTTCTGGCCAAAATTCGGCCCGGAAGTCGTCGGTCAAATTTTGCATCTAATTAGCATCCACTATTCATACGGAAAGTTGATGGAAATGATATGTTAATGATTCCCCTAACATTTTGTCACTTGTGTTTTTTCCCTATTTTTGTCCAATCGCTTGTACAACTGTTATCCTGCACCGTAGAAAGATTTCAAGTAGACCAAAAGATGCACATTTTTCTGGACTACAGAGCCTGTCATTCGGCTTTACAGCAACATAAAGGACCGCCAAGAAAACGACCAAAAACTTCATTCCCTATCATTTTGGCACGCACTGTAGTTACCTAGAAAACCGCGATACAAGGCTCAAATCCTTCCGGCTGAGGTGCTAGCATCGAAACATTAGGATCACCATCGGACAAGGGTTTATCTTTTCCAGAACTTCCGTTATTAATTCAAAAGCGTGTATAGTGACTTCACCCAACCTTTTAGCGAGATCTGATCGTATTTTGATAACAACAGGTTGAAAAACTAACCATAAACTAGATGAGTCGAAATTTTCGGGAACTTTAGGCTTCAAAATCTCCTTATTTTGGTGAGAACTCTCATTGCGACCCACACAGTTCGATAGAGAATTTTTTTCTCTATCAAGTTCCCACGCCTCCCGAAGATTCGAAATCATACTCAAAAGTTATTAGAAGAAAACGTAGATTTTCTGATTTTTTTAATATGGGCGGCGCCGCCCCACAGAGCCCGGAGGGCAATAGGCGCGCCCCGTACTAAAGTGCCCTTTGACGAGCCGTGCCCTGATTTTCGGTATCTTGGTCCGAAAAGATGCGCAATTTTTCGTAGAACATTTTCATTTTTTTCAACTTTCGGGATAAAGCTATGGCAAAATTCTATGGCAGTTATGGCAAAATTCGGGGGTTTTTCCGTTTGGAGAGTAGAATACAAGTTACACCGTCCATGGACAATTCCGCGTACTAATTTTCCTATACGTGCCTTTTGATTAGGGAATGGGATAGCGTGTATTATGAGGCCAGCCGGCTCCGCCTTCTTCATTCTTTCTTTGGAACTGGAAAATCCAAATGTTCCAAATTTTGATATATAGAAAGAAAAATCGCTACCAAAAGCCGCTCTTGGCGACGTATAGTTCCTATCGCCAGGCGGTTATCGCGCACTTATCGCGACCATTACGACATGGATTCTCCTGATTTTTGAACAAAAAATTTATTTTTGCGTTTATAAAAATTTATATAAATTACCAAATTTGGAACAAACACCTAAAAACATTGAAGTAGTCGATATATACCGAAAGCTTATTATTCTGTACAGGGTCTCCCAATAAAAAACCTTCTAACTCGACGGATTGCAACAGTCTGCAAGCTTTTATTTGAACGCGGGATTATATAAGCAATTAAATCTTCGGCTTTTTGACGATTTTCTTCTTACGTTTCGATAGATTATATACATCCGGCGTAACCGTTAATTTTCTAGACGCGACGATGGCCGGCCCTTCTACTTTGGCCGATCAGCTCGAGGCGATAGCGGGCGATCCGATTTTGGCGAAAGATGTTGAAATAGTAAGTGGCAATGCTCAACTAATCCCCTCGTTTAGCTGCCCGCCAACTACACATTTGAGCTGCCGAAGACGATATGGAAAATCCGGCATTTGGGCGCGAAAAACGGTGAGCGGGCCCTGGTTTTTTCCGATGAGGTCGTTCATTTCAGTGGCCCTGCAGTTCCCGGAAGGGCTGCTGATGTACGCGTGTCTGATCGCCGACATTCTGGAGAAGCACACCGGTTGCGAGACGGTCATCATGGGCGACGTCACCTACGGCGCATGCTGCGTCGACGATTTCACCGCCAAGGCTTTAGGTATTTATTTTTCGGGCCTGGACTGCTAGTTGGGGGCGCGGTGTTTTTCGCCAATTATGACTTTTGATTATGTAATCCATTTTTAAAGGGTTGTTAGTAGTTTTTGATTGCTAAAAGTTATAAAAAATGTTGAAAATTCAAAAATTTCACCTTTTTTCACCTCTTGCATTCTTGACCAAAGAAATCAATAATTCTCGAGAACTTTTATGAGGTTTTTGTACCTGAAAACGGTGTGAAATGCTGTAAAAATGGTGTATATTTCGTTATAGGTACGGAATTACTGGGAAAAATTAGCTTTTTCCTGCTACCCCCGCTAACATTGAAGTACCATCTTTTTTCTGCTAAAAAATACATTTGTTTCTAGGCTGTGATCTGCTCGTCCACTATGGGCACAGCTGCCTCGTCCCAATCCAGAATACTGAGGGCATCGCCATGCTCTACATTTTTGTCAACATCGAGATCAACCTCTCGCATTTTGTCGATTGTCTTAAGGTGAGGAAATGTGAAAATCACACAAATTTTCCCTTTTTAGGCCAACTTTGAGCCGTTGCAAATAGCGATCGTCAGCACGATCCAGTTCATCCCGTCGTTGCAGGTATGCTTTTTGTGATCGGTTCTTCCGCATTATCGGGGGGAAGACAAAGTTTTTTACGTAGAATTTCGTACAATGTTTTCGTAGAATCAATTTTTTTTCTATAAAAAGAGCGGAACGGTTTCTACTATCCCTAAACGTATTTCGATTGTATCAAAAATGCATTTATTTTTAGAATAAACAACTAAATAAATTTTTATTAAAAGAGACATAAATTATAGAGATTTCGGCCAAAAATGGCCGTTTGACCAAAATTTCGACTTTTTGAAAGTTTTTGAACCTTTTGGATAGTTTTTCTAGCCGAAATGTAGTTTAATTTTAATAAAAAATATTTCTGTTCTAATAAATAAAAAACTTCTTTTCTAGACACAAAAAGGATGTCCCCCCCCCCCCCCCCCGATAATGCGAAAGAGCCGTTTCATCGCCAACCTTTTCGTTTTAGGCCGTTCGCCAGCTGCTCAGCAATGACGGCTACACGATTGTGATGCCGCAGTGCAAGCCGTTGAGTCCGGGCGAAATCCTCGGCTGCACGTCGCCGCGGCTTGGCGATGATGTGGACCGGCTAATGTCGGTTTTCTTGGAGATTCTGTAGGATTCGCGCGAGGGGAACCAATTTTTTTTCTGGCGGCCGCGGTTGGCCTAGGAATCAAACTTAGATTGTTTTTACATTGTTTTTTCGTAAGTTTTAACTACTTTAAAGTAGAAAACTTTCAAAACAAGCTTGAAAAATCGAAAATTTCGCCTTGTTGGCTCAGAAATAAGCAATTTTTCGACATAATACATACATTTTTTGCATATTTTTTCGAGACAAAAAAACGTCCGAAAACTTTAGGAAGTGAAAATTGTAATTTTAGTCATCAAAACGAATCTGGATTCCCGAATCCTAGAATTCATAGGTTTTTGTGGTGTTTCTGTGTTTTAAAAGGGTCAAAAACTATCTGGAACCAGCTTGAGATAGCCCAACAGCAAAATTCACCATTTATTTTTTAGTTACCTCGGCGACGGGCGCTTCCACCTCGAGTCGATCATGATCCACAACCCGAAAATCGCCGCCTTTCAATACGACCCTTACGCCAGGAAGTTGACGAGGTAAAACGGGTGGTGCTCAATTAAATATGGCCTTAGGGAGCACTACGATCACTCAACGATGCGCAATAACCGCGGAGCGGCCGTGAGGATAGCCCGGGAATGCACGCGGTTTGGCGTCGTTTTGGGGGCGCTCGGGAGGCAGGGAAACACCAAAGTGCTCCAGGTGAGGTTTGCTACCTCCATGAATTTCTGAAATTGCAGGAGCTCGTCGACAAGCTGAAGAGCAAGGGCAAGGAGGTGACCGTCGTCGTTCTTTCGGAGATTTTCCCGGCAAAACTCGCGCTGTTTGACGAGATTGAGTGGTTGGTGTTTTTATAGCCTCCTATACAGGGTGCCTCGTGTAAAGGATGACGCTGGCATTTTGCTATTTCAAATCCGATTGAGTTGAAATTTTGAACAGAGGCGCGGAAGGGAATTTAAAATGTTCACAGGAACTTTCAGCCCGATCGGTAAATTAGTTTTCGAGTTATTGCGAAAATACTGTTTTGACACTTTTGCTCCATTTTTTCAGCAATTTTTTGGACTTTGTACTTTTTTTGGACAGTTAACATAAATTTCCGGCTCTAAATCCCGCATTCTTCTAAGCATCGAGGTTGCAAAAACCTTGTTAAAATTACTTAAATAGCCTATTTCCAAGCCGAATTTTACGAAATAAACAATTTTCTAACATAAAAAAGGGTCGGCGCTTCATTTTCACCATACATCCCAAGGCTCAATCCCGGCGAAATCCAGGTTAAAAACGTAAAATACAGACGAAAACTATTACGAAAACTATAAACTACACTCTAACCGAATGTATATTTTCAGGTGCATTGATTATGTATCGCAGGGCATCTGCACTGGAAGTGGCCGTATCATGCACTATAAGCATTTCGATTATGTTCGATGACGCCACCGTCCAGACAACAATCTGAACAGTTCCCATTTTTCTCCACATTTCTTTGCGATTTTGAATTAATAAATACCGTCGGCCAAACAAAACGATTCCGAAACGCCGCGAGTTTTGATTTCCCATCTTCGGCTTGTCTCCAAAATCACGGAATTTCACGGCCTTCAAAAAAATGTCAAACATTTTAGGTTGATTTTCAGCAACCTGTTCATCTGGTTCAAGTCTGTCAAACACGTGAGAGATTTGTTGCCACGAGAGCCGTCTGATGTCAACAGTCCTTATCATTCCTGAAAATTGATTTGAAAACGCCGTTCGATAGAGGGCCCAGCCTCCGGCAGACACCGCTCTTCAACTGACACCGGGTCCCTCGCCTCCACCCCTGGTCCCCCCTCACGGCTCGTCAGGCCTTACCAAAAACGCACTTCTGGGGGGGTGCGGGCCCTCTCCCTGCGGATAGTGGGTTAACCTCCCAGGCGAGCCCCCCACACCCCCCGGGTTCGGTTCCTCTGCGGCGCAAACTCCCCCATTTTGGTGATCTTTGTTTTGCGTTTTGCTCCAATGTATCACCGAAGTTCTACTGTAACACAAAATCAAATAATACTCGCGAAAAAGCCCGAGAACATAGCAAAAAGCGGCAGAAACCGTTTTAACAAAGTGAGTCCAAAAACAGACGTAATTTCGCTCCATAATCAGCTTTCAGGGTTGCTATTACATTTTTTTTTGGCTTAGTAACGATAATAAGCGCTCTGATGCGTTTATATTAGCAAAATTGGGCTACAGATCACGAAGCTCCTGCTCCAAGCGTCCAAGTGCCCGACTATCATAGCTATTTGCTTAATAGGGGGTTCATAATTCAGCAGTTTTTCGATTAATTCCACATTAAATTGATATACAGTGCGTGCCAAAATGATAGTGGAATGGCGTTTTTAGCCGTTTTCTCGGCCGTCCTCCATTTCCGTGTAAAACAAAATCATAGGTCCAATAGCCCGAAAAAAGACGCGTCTTTTGGTCTACTTGAAATCTTTCTACGATGCAGGATAACAGTTTTACAAGCGATTGAATAAAAATAGGGAAAAACACAAGTGACAAAATGATAGGGGAATCATTAACATATCATTTCCATCAACTTTCCGTATGAATAGTGGATGTTGATTGATTTTAATTACAGATTCATAGCCGGAGAAGATGTAAAAATCGTATTTTCTGGCCAAAATTCGGCCCGGAAGTCGTCGGTCAAATTTTGCATCTAATTAGCATCCACTATTCATACGGAAAGTTGATGGAAATGATATGTTAATGATTCCCCTAACATTTTGTCACTTGTGTTTTTTCCCTATTTTTGTCCAATCGCTTGTACAACTGTTATCCTGCACCGTAGAAAGATTTCAAGTAGACCAAAAGATGCACATTTTTCTGGACTACAGAGCCTGTCATTCGGCTTTACAGCAACATAAAGGACCGCCAAGAAAACGACCAAAAACTTCATTCCCCTATCATTTTGGCACGCACTGTAGTTACCTAGAAAACCGCGATACAAGGCTCAAATCCTTCCGGCTGAGGTGCTAGCATCGAAACATTAGGATCACCATCGGACAAGGGTTTATCTTTTCCAGAACTTCCGTTATTAATTCAAAAGCGTGTATAGTGACTTCACCCAACCTTTTAGCGAGATCTGATCGTATTTTGATAACAACAGGTTGAAAAACTAACCATAAACTAGATGAGTCGAAATTTTCGGGAACTTTAGGCTTCAAAATCTCCTTATTTTGGTGAGAACTCTCATTGCGACCCACACAGTTCGATAGAGAATTTTTTTTCTCTATCAAGTTCCCACGCCTCCCGAAGATTCGAAATCATACTCAAAAAGTTATTAGAAGAAAACGTAGATTTTCTGATTTTTTAATATGGGCGGCGCCGCCCCACAGAGCCCGGAGGGCAATAGGCGCGCCCCGTACTAAAGTGCCCTTTGACGAGCCGTGCCCTGATTTTCGGTATCTTGGTCCGAAAAGATGCGCAATTTTTCGTAGAACATTTTCATTTTTTTCAACTTTCGGGATAAAGCTATGGCAAAATTCTATGGCAGTTATGGCAAAATTCGGGGGTTTTTCCGTTTGGAGAGTAGAATACAAGTTACACCGTCCATGGACAATTCCGCGTACTAATTTTCCTATACGTGCCTTTTGATTAGGGAATGGGATAGCGTGTATTATGAGGCCAGCCGGCTCCGCCTTCTTCATTCTTTCTTTGGAACTGGAAAATCCAAATGTTCCAAATTTTGATATATAGAAAGAAAAATCGCTACCAAAAGCCGCTCTTGGCGACGTATAGTTCCTATCGCCAGGCGGTTATCGCGCACTTATCGCGACCATTACGACATGGATTCTCCTGATTTTTGAACAAAAATTTATTTTTGCGTTTATAAAAATTTATATAAATTACCAAATTTGGAACAAACACCTAAAAACATTGAAGTAGTCGATATATACCGAAAGCTTATTATTCTGTACAGGGTCTCCCAATAAAAAACCTTCTAACTCGACGGATTGCAACAGTCTGCAAGCTTTTATTTGAACGCGGGATTATATAAGCAATTAAATCTTCGGCTTTTTGACGATTTTCTTCTTACGTTTCGATAGATTATATACATCCGGCGTAACCGTTAATTTTCTAGACGCGACGATGGCCGGCCCTTCTACTTTGGCCGATCAGCTCGAGGCGATAGCGGGCGATCCGATTTTGGCGAAAGATGTTGAAATAGTAAGTGGCAATGCTCAACTAATCCCCTCGTTTAGCTGCCCGCCAACTACACATTTGAGCTGCCGAAGACGATATGGAAAATCCGGCATTTGGGCGCGAAAAACGGTGAGCGGGCCCTGGTTTTTTCCGATGAGGTCGTTCATTTCAGTGGCCCTGCAGTTCCCGGAAGGGCTGCTGATGTACGCGTGTCTGATCGCCGACATTCTGGAGAAGCACACCGGTTGCGAGACGGTCATCATGGGCGACGTCACCTACGGCGCATGCTGCGTCGACGATTTCACCGCCAAGGCTTTAGGTATTTATTTTTCGGGCCTGGACTGCTAGTTGGGGGCGCGGTGTTTTTCGCCAATTATGACTTTTGATTATGTAATCCATTTTTAAAGGGTTGTTAGTAGTTTTTGATTGCTAAAAAGTTATAAAAAATGTTGAAAATTCAAAAATTTCACCTTTTTTCACCTCTTGCATTCTTGACCAAAGAAATCAATAATTCTCGAGAACTTTTATGAGGTTTTTGTACCTGAAAACGGTGTGAAATGCTGTAAAAATGGTGTATATTTCGTTATAGGTACGGAATTACTGGGAAAAATTAGCTTTTTCCTGCTACCCCCCCCCCCCGCTAACATTGAAGTACCATCTTTTTTCTGCTAAAAATACATTTGTTTCTAGGCTGTGATCTGCTCGTCCACTATGGGCACAGCTGCCTCGTCCCAATCCAGAATACTGAGGGCATCGCCATGCTCTACATTTTTGTCAACATCGAGATCAACCTCTCGCATTTTGTCGATTGTCTTAAGGTGAGGAAATGTGAAAATCACACAAATTTTCCCTTTTTAGGCCAACTTTGAGCCGTTGCAAATAGCGATCGTCAGCACGATCCAGTTCATCCCGTCGTTGCAGGTATGCTTTTTGTGATCGGTTCTTCCGCATTATCGGGGGGAAGACAAAGTTTTTTACGTAGAATTTCGTACAATGTTTTCGTAGAATCAATTTTTTTTCTATAAAAAGAGCGGAACGGTTTCTACTATCCCTAAACGTATTTCGATTGTATCAAAAATGCATTTATTTTTAGAATAAACAACTAAATAAATTTTTATTAAAAGAGACATAAATTATAGAGATTTCGGCCAAAAATGGCCGTTTGACCAAAATTTCGACTTTTTGAAAGTTTTTGAACCTTTTGGATAGTTTTTCTAGCCGAAATGTAGTTTAATTTTAATAAAAAATATTTCTGTTCTAATAAATAAAAAACTTCTTTTCTAGACACAAAAAGGATGTCCCCCCCCCCGATAATGCGAAAGAGCCGTTTCATTGCCAACCTTTTCGTTTTAGGCCGTTCGCCAGCTGCTCAGCAATGACGGCTACACGATTGTGATGCCGCAGTGCAAGCCGTTGAGTCCGGGCGAAATCCTCGGCTGCACGTCGCCGCGGCTTGGCGATGATGTGGACCGGCTAATGTCGGTTTTCTTGGAGATTCTGTAGGATTCGCGCGAGGGGAACCAATTTTTTTTCTGGCGGCCGCGGTTGGCCTAGGAATCAAACTTAGATTGTTTTTACATTGTTTTTTCGTAAGTTTTAACTACTTTAAAGTAGAAAACTTTCAAAACAAGCTTGAAAAATCGAAAATTTCGCCTTGTTGGCTCAGAAATAAGCAATTTTTCGACATAATACATACATTTTTGCATATTTTTTCGAGACAAAAAAAACGTCCGAAAACTTTAGGAAGTGAAAATTGTAATTTTAGTCATCAAAACGAATCTGGATTCCCGAATCCTAGAATTCATAGGTTTTTGTGGTGTTTCTGTGTTTTAAAAGGGTCAAAAACTATCTGGAACCAGCTTGAGATAGCCCAACAGCAAAATTCACCATTTATTTTTTAGTTACCTCGGCGACGGGCGCTTCCACCTCGAGTCGATCATGATCCACAACCCGAAAATCGCCGCCTTTCAATACGACCCTTACGCCAGGAAGTTGACGAGGTAAAACGGGTGGTGCTCAATTAAATATGGCCTTAGGGAGCACTACGATCACTCAACGATGCGCAATAACCGCGGAGCGGCCGTGAGGATAGCCCGGGAATGCACGCGGTTTGGCGTCGTTTTGGGGGCGCTCGGGAGGCAGGGAAACACCAAAGTGCTCCAGGTGAGGTTTGCTACCTCCATGAATTTCTGAAATTGCAGGAGCTCGTCGACAAGCTGAAGAGCAAGGGCAAGGAGGTGACCGTCGTCGTTCTTTCGGAGATTTTCCCGGCAAAACTCGCGCTGTTTGACGAGATTGAGTGGTTGGTGTTTTTATAGCCTCCTATACAGGGTGCCTCGTGTAAAGGATGACGCTGGCATTTTGCTATTTCAAATCCGATTGAGTTGAAATTTTGAACAGAGGCGCGGAAGGGAATTTAAAATGTTCACAGGAACTTTCAGCCCGATCGGTAAATTAGTTTTCGAGTTATTGCGAAAATACTGTTTTGACACTTTTGCTCCATTTTTTCAGCAATTTTTTGGACTTTGTACTTTTTTTGGACAGTTAACATAAATTTCCGGCTCTAAATCCCGCATTCTTCTAAGCATCGAGGTTGCAAAAACCTTGTTAAAATTACTTAAATAGCCTATTTCCAAGCCGAATTTTACGAAATAAACAATTTTCTAACATAAAAAAGGGTCGGCGCTTCATTTTCACCATACATCCCAAGGCTCAATCCCGGCGAAATCCAGGTTAAAAACGTAAAATACAGACGAAAACTATTGTACCGATCGAGCTGAAAGTCTCTGTGAACATTTTAAATTCCCTTCCGCAGCTCTGTAATAATTAATTATCCTAATTTATTTTGGCAGAACTTTGATATTTTCGCTACTTTTTCGGGTTTTTTTCCAATACCAGTCGATAAATTCAAAATAAAATTCGAAAAATATACTAAGAGTTTTTGTTTTAGCTCTAAATGTTGCAATATAAAACGTTAGAGCGAACACAAACGTACCTTTTAAAACTGGGGCTGGGATGCGAGTTTTCTATATTTTCGCTATTTTTCGATATGTTGAAGACACCGTTTTTCCCCGCAATATAACAGTACCGTTATTTTGATAAGAAATAAGGTTTTTGAATTGAATTAATTATTTTTTGTTTTCAGTTGGGTGCAAATCGCGTGCCCTCGACTGTCGATTGATTGGGGAACGTTCTTCGCGCGCCCGCTGCTCACCCCCTACGAGCTGAACGTGGCGCTGGATTCGCTCGAATTTCCGGATGGCTACTATCCGATGGATTTCTACGCCTACGAGTCGAAGGTACGCTCGGGGTTCTGGGCTGCTAGCGGGGGGGGGTATATTTTGATAGCGTTTTTAGTTGCTTTTTTTGGTTTGGTTTTTCGGCTTTTTTGGTTTGGTTTTAGTTTTTTTTTGCTAGAAAGCGATCAAAAATATTATTCAAATTTGGAAAATTATAAAGACCTTTTTTGCTCATTTTTCATACATTTTTGACCAGCAAGTCAAAAATTTTCCAGATTTTTATTATTTTTTGCAGTTTTTTTAAACATGAAAACTATTGAAAATGCTATAAAAATGGTTTATGTTTTGGGATAGAGCCGTGGAGAATCACAGGGAAAATTTTGGTCCCCCCCCCCCCGCTAACAGTCCAGAACCGAGAATATTCCTAATTTTTTTCAGGGCCCATGGACGCCAAACCACGAATCACACCGGCCGCAGCGCGTTCGCCGTCGGGCCCCGATCGTCGTCGGCCAGTCGGCCAGCTAATCGGGCATTTTCTAAGATACTTATTCTATTTGGCTTTAGCCGTTTTTTAAATTCTACTGTGGTTTTTCTGCGTTGAATTTTCGTATGTTTTGTTACGTTTACGAGATTTTGCTTTGTAAATTATACCACAATTTTTGTTGTGAGTTTTCAAGAATTTTGTGCTATTACGCCGCTTTTTGCATGTTGTACTTGCTTTTCGTTGACTGTGTTTCGCGATACGGGTGTTTGTTGCGAGGAATAAAACGTTCAAGTGCGTGTTGGATACCGAGGAGTCATCTTTTTCTCAATGTTTTTGACTGGAATTTATAGATCTCACTGGAAGCTGGCGTTTCCGGTTGAAAATTTTGAATTGTGATAAGTTTCTTGAGACGAGGGTCCTAATTATTTTTTTATTTCAAAATCGAGGAACTAATTGAGTTCTATCGGTTGCAGTGAAATGAATACAATAGCGGAATTGGTTCTAAACTGTTTTTGACTATTCCTAAAGGTAAAAATTTACAAATTTATCATAAAATATACAAAAATGTCCATTTTTCGAGCAAAAATTGCCATTTTTGACCAAAATTTAGACTAGGACATTTTTTGGATAGTTTTTCTGGTTGTAATCGTGTTCTTTTTAATTAAAAACATTATTTAACTATTTCCTATTAAGTTACCAGACATTTCCAGGCCTATACTACAAGAATACTTACTTCCCCTCGCCCGAAAATGCGAAAGAACCTGGGGCTCAATTCGCTCTTGCTCACAACGAGGCGCAAGTCGCAAAAATCGGTCCCTATTGAAGCAGAAAGCATCATCCTGTTTTCCATACCCAAATCACTTCCGGTGTTGGCAAGATGGACACCACAAAATGCACTTTTTCTCAACCGCCACCGGGTGCAGCTTTACAGTGGGCTTTTTCGATATGTTGACAACACGACGACGACTTCTAGCAGCACAACGATGGCGGCCGACGTGAAGGTGGAGCTGGACGCGGGGGCGTTGATGAGACGCATGCAGGAGGCCGTCTACAAGGACAAGACCAAGGACGACAAGGAGGTGCTCTACAAAAAAAACCCGAAACATGTTTTGGTTGAAATTTTGGGCTGAACTCCAAATACCCCCCGCTTTTATATCTCGCCCGCCTGTTCATCTACAGGTGTGTAAAGTATACCAAAATGCTCGCCACAACAAGACGAACCTTTTGGTATACTTTACACTCCTGTAGATGAACAGGGAACCGAGATACAAAAGTTGGGGACCGGCTGCCAGGGGGATCTGGTGTCTTACCAAATTTTGGTCGAAAAATCTATATTCCTGGTATTTTTGTGGTTTTATTGATTCATTTATTTAATTAACTCTAAAATAGCCCACTTTCAGGTGTGGGCCGTGAAAAACGAGCTGACGCCGGCCATCATCGAGGAGGTGATCCGGAGAGCCACGTGAGTGATTGGCCTACTTCTGGCGCCCAATTCTTGGAAAAGTCTCACGTTTGCAGCCCGATCATCCGCGCCGAGCCGATGCGCCTCGAGGTGAAGGCGCCGGTGTACTGCGTCGGCGACATCCACGGCCAGTTCACGGATCTGATGCGCATCTTCAAGAAGACCGGGTGGCCCGACGGGCAATCGAGGGTAAGGGAAAACAGGCCTAGGACCTCCGACTAGCCCAGCAGCCAAATACAACGGTTTTTAGTAGAGTTAAACATTATTAGAAACAGAAAAAGGTCGAAAAGCTTCAGATAAGCCTAAAAATGTCGTTGCTTGGTCCGGTTTTAGCCTCAAAATAGAGTTTCCGCCCCAAAGATATGGATTTTGGAATAAATTTTGCAAGGATTCTACGTGTTAGCACATTGAGAACCGCATCAAAATAATCATGTTTTGTAGAAAAAAGAAAAAGAACAGGAACATTTGCTGGGTTTTTTAACCATGTAACGACAATTCGGTACCTTTCCGTTCTTTCCGATGTACAGTTTGCGTATATAGGTGGATTGCGTAGTACGTCTCGCCCTGTTTTGTGACCTGGTAATCTGTATATCTCGCGATAGAGATTTTTGCGAATTTTTTTTGAACTGCTCCTGCATCAGCTCAACTTACCACGGCCAATCAAACAGGCCAAAAACGGCAATGTGCCGAAAGGGGCAAAAGCGTCGATAGGAGCGGAACGTAGCGGGCGCCAAAAAGTTTAAGCTCTTATCACTTTTTCAAACCGACTTAATAATGAAAACCCAATATCAATTATTGCAGAGTAGAATTTTACGGTTCGAATGATACCAAAGACAGCAAGTTAGCCCTCCGAAATCCCACTTTTCACAAAGTCGCCAACCAAAACCGCCTTCGTTTCGATACTTTTTGAATTCAGTTTTCTTAGTGCTTGGTATCATTGGAATCGAGTTTTCCCATTCTACAAAGTTGGAAATCGCTTTTTTTGAAAAATTCCATTTAGTTTTAAAGTTATAAGGCTACGAAGTTTTGTCCCCATACATTTTCTTGACGAATGGAGCTTCGCGTTGCTTAGGCACTTATTGCCGCAAATTCTGGGCGTGCTTACTGCGCATTTTGACATAACAAACTCCAATTTTAGCTTAGAGACCGGATACTTCAGTAGCGAGTTTGAAACTTGATATCTCTAGCTAGAAGTGTTTCCGGAAATTTTTTTGGGCTAAACTCCAGATACCCCCCCAGCCGACCCCCACCTACCGTATCTCGGCTCCCTATTCATCTACAGGTGTGTAAAGTATACCAAAATACTCGCCAGAGCAAGACGAACATTTTGGTATACTTTACACACCTGTAGATGAACAGGGAGCTGAGATACAAAAGTTGGGTGCCGGCTGGGGGGGTTATCTGGAGTCTTACCTTTTTTGGAATTGATCTGTAATCGGCTCGATCTGCTGAGCATTTTAAATCCGAAATCCGTTTACTGACGCGTTTACTTACGAAAATTTCCCCTTTTTTGTGAATTATGGCACATCCTAATTTTCGAATTTTCAGCGCTATCTGTTCCTCGGCGACTACGTCGACCGTGGCCCGAACTCGTTGGAGTGCATCGTTTTTCTGCTGCTCGTCAAGGTTGGGGTTTTCGCGTTTAAAAACCCCCGATTTCTGGCAGGTAATCCACCCATCGGCCATCTATCTGCTGCGCGGGAACCACGAGTGCTCGGCCGTCAATCGGGTACGCGTTCCCCGGCTTTAAAAGGAGCGTTGCGAGCTGTTTCTAAACTTTTTTTGCTATTCTTAAACGTAAAAAAATTCCTCCCAACATTTGTAATGAATACGATTAAAAAATACAAAAATCAGATCAATTTTTTCGAGAAAAAAGGAGGGATTTTGACCGATTTCGAATTTTAGACTTTTTCGAAACTTTTTAAGCTAGTTTTTTTAGTGGAAAGCTAGTTATATTTGATAAAAAACACTTATAAAAAATTAAAGAAGTAGCCCCCCCCCCGATAATGACAAAGCACCATTTGCCGGAGACGAGCCACTTTTGCAGGTGTACGGCTTCTACGAGGAGTGCTGTTCCCGGTTCCCTGAGAACCACGTCGGCCGCGGGCTCTGGGACCAATTTCAGGTTGGTGGTTCTTTCGCATTATCGGGGGGGGGGGCGAACTTTTTTTGTCAACGTCTAGAAATCCTTAGTAACTTAATAGCAAGCGTTCTAATAGTGCTTTAGTGAATAATAACGATATTTCATCTAGAAAAACTATCGAAAATTTTTTGAAAAGTCGAAATTTTGTCGAAAAATCAAATTTTTAGTAATTTTTTGTAGTTTTGACGTTTAGGACTAGTAAAAACTAGTTAGGAACACTTCCACTATCTATATTTGAAAAATTAGACCTTAAGAAAAAAGTTTGTAACGTTAAAATGACTTCTTACAACCATTGAAAAATACTTTGGCGCAGGACCTGTTCAACTGGATGCCGATGACGGCGCTGATCTCGCGCCGAATCCTCTGCATGCACGGCGGCATCTCCCCAATGTTGCAAGGTATCGTCTGGGATGGATCTATGGATTTTTCGGTTAGAGTTCCGTTTACCCCCCGACCTAGCGTATCTCGGCTCCCTGTTCATCTACAGGTGTGTAAGGTATACCAAAATGTTTGCCTTGCTCTGGCGAGTATTTTGGTATACTTTACACACCTGTAGATGAACAGAGAGCAGAGATACGCTAGGTAAACTGCACTTAAGCCATGAATCCATGCCTTGTCTTACTTTAAAAAAAAAACCGACGGCTATAATTGCTCAGAGCTGAGCCAGCTGAACGACATCGAGCGCCCAGTCGACCCGTTTGCCGCCTGTCTGGCCGTCGATCTGCTGTGGGCCGACCCGAGCCCCCAGATGGCCAACGGACCCCTCGATCCACTCTATGAAGCATCCGCCCGCGGCATATCACATCATTTTAGCAAACGGTCAGCTAGCAGAGATCCTTGGTGGAATCCCGGCGAATTCCAGGGCGCTGCAGGAGCTGTGCAAGAAGTTCAGCATCGATCTCGTCGTCCGCGGCCATCAGGTCGTACAGGATGGGTTCGTTTCCGCGGCTTATTTTCATAATGTCGAAATTCATAATGTCGAAACTCATAATGTCGAAATTCATAATGTCGAATTTCATAATGTCGAAATGTCATAATGTCGAAATTCATAATGTCGAAATGTTTTCTTTCACGACATTGTCTTATTTCACGACAACATTTTTTTGCCTAGAATTCGGGGAATTTACCGGAAATTTTAGCTTATTTAAATTTCGACATTCTGAATTTCGACATTATGACATTTCGACATTATGAAATTTCGACATTATGAATTTCGACATTATGAATTTCGACATTATGAGTTTCGACATTATGATACCAATTCGGTTTCCGCATGGGTCTCTGCTAGCCTGCCCTCCTCTCGGGGTCCGTCCATTTCCTCAAACAATCTCTGCTAGCCTGCCCTCCTCTCGGGGTCCGTCCATTTCCTCAAACAATCTCTGCTAGCCTGCCCTCCTCTCAGGGTCCGTCCATTTCCTCAAACAATCTCTGCTAGCCTGCCCTCCTCTCGGGGTCCGTCCATTTCCTCAAACAATCTCTGCTAGTCTGCCCTCCTCTCGGGGTCCGTCCATTTCCTCAAACAATCTCTGCTAGTCTGCCCCTCCTCTCGGGGTCCGTCCATTTCCTCAAACAATCTCTGCTAGCCTGCCCTCCTCTCGGGGTCCGTCCATTTCCTCAAACAATCTCTGCTAGTCTGCCCTCCTCTCGGGGTCCGTCCATTTCCTCAAACAATCTCTGCTAGCCTGCCCTCCTCTCGGGGTCCGTCCATTTCCTCAAACAATCTCTGCTAGTCTGCCCTCCTCTCGGGGTCCGTCCATTTCCTCAAACAATCTCTGCTAGCCTGCCCTCCTCTCGGGGTCCGTCCATTTCCTCAAACAATCTCTGCTAGCCTGCCCTCCTCTCGGGGTCCGTCCATTTCCTCAAACAATCTCTGCTAGCCTGCCCTCCTCTCGGGGTCCGTCCATTTCCTCAAACAATCTCTGCTAGCCTGCCCTCCTCTCGGGGTCCGTCCATTTCCTCAAACAATCTCTGCTAGTCTGCCCTCCTCTCGGGGTCCGTCCATTTCCTCAAACAATCTCTGCTAGCCTGCCCTCCTCTCGGGGTCCGTCCATTTCCTCAAACAATCTCTGCTAGCCTGCCCTCCTCTCGGGGTCCGTCCATTTCCTCAAACAATCTCTGCTAGTCTGCCCTCCTCTCGGGGTCCGTCCATTTCCTCAAACAATCTCTGCTAGCCTGCCCTCCTCTCGGGGTCCGTCCATTTCCTCAAACAATCTCTGCTAGCCTGCCCTCCTCTCGGGGTCCGTCCATTTCCTCAAACAATCTCTGCTAGTCTGCCCCTCCTCTCGGGGTCCGTCCATTTCCTCAAACAATCTCTGCTAGCCTGCCCTCCTCTCGGGGTCCGTCCATTTCCTCAAACAATCTCTGCTAGTCTGCCCTCCTCTCGGGGTCCGTCCATTTCCTCAAACAATCTCTGCTAGCCTGCCCTCCTCTCGGGGTTCGTCCATTTCCTCCTCCAATCTCTGCTAGCCTGCCCTCCTCTCGGGGTTCGTCCATTTCCTCCTCCAATCTCTGCTAGCCTGCCCTCCTCTCGGGGTCCGTCCATTTCCTCAAACAATCTCTGCTAGCCTGCCATCATTTTCAGCTACGAATTCTTTGCCCATCGCCACCTGGTGACCGTGTTCTCGGCCCCGAACTACTGCGGCACGTTCAACAACTTTGGCGCGTTGCTGTACGTCGACTGGGATTGCCAGTGGGCGCTTTTTACCGGGCCCTAGAATTTCCGAGCTTTCCAGATGCAGTATGACGACGTTCCCGCCCGATCCGCTGGCACCGAAAGGGAAAGGGCCCAAGGCGGCTGAGGTGGGCGGCTAGCGGAGATTCTTTGAGGAAAGCCCTATCGTTTTAGACGACAATCGACGAGATGGACATTGACGACGGCAAGGAGGAGGGCGGGACGTCAGCTGCTCCCACCCGCCCCGAGCGTGTCAAGCAGGCTTCACAGGTAGTCTCGGTACACGCGCATTCAAGGGACCGGCAAGGTATGGCGGTACTGGATTGTTAGCGGGGGGAGACTTTTAACAGGGGGAGACCAGATTTTGCGAATTAATGCCGGACGGCCTTATGACAAATAAAAATCATTTTTAGAGTGTTTTAAACAATTTTTTGGAGTAATTTTAGGGTAGGTTTTCGGGGTTCTTTTTCATTTTTTTTTGGCTAAAAATTTATGAAAAACAGTTCTCGAAAATTCCTGAAAAATTTTTGCCAATTTTCAACATTTTTAAAAACATTTTGATAACTTTCTAGCAATCAAAAACTCCTAAAAAACCATAAAAATACATAATTGATACAATTGAACCAATCGATCGAAAACAAAAGGTGGTTGTCCCCCTGCTAGAGATCCTTTCCCCCCGCTAACAGCTCAGAACCGCCATGCCTTGCCAATACCTTTAAACCCACCACCCGGAAATCGTGTCGCAGGGCCCACCAACGCCAAAGGCCAAAAGCCAGCGTCGCGTCTACGCGCAGCCCATCGTTGTCGATTAGACGGAATAGACACACAGACTACATTGCATTTTCGCCTTTCTTTTCACCGAGAATAAACGGCTTCTTCTTTCTAATGGCTAATGAGAGCACGCCCAAAATACGTCGAAAATCCCTGCTGACACGCTACCTTGAAATGGCGCCACCGCTACCGTAACCGGAAAAATTGAGGTCGCCGCGAAATGGGTGGAGCTGTCCGGACATCGCATCACGTCCTGCGAGCCGATCGCCGGACATCATGGAGAAGGGGGCAGCTCGGAGGATACGGTATGTCTCTCTTTCTCTCTCTCTCACTCTCTCTATCGCTCTCTCTCTCTCTCTCTCTCTCTCTCTATCTCTCTATCTCTGTCTCTCTCTCTCTCGCTCGCTCGCCACTCTTTCTCGCTCTCTCTCGCTCTCGCTCTCTCTTTCTCTCCCTCTCTCACTCTCGCTCGCTCGCCACTCTTTCTCGCTCTCTGTCGCTCTCGCTCTCTCTTTCTCTCCCTCTCTCTCTCTCTCGCGCTTTCTATCTCGCTCTCTCTCTCTCGCCACTCTTTTCTTTTTCAGCAGGAGAGCGAGCCGGGATCTCGAAAAAGCTCCGCGACGTCAGTGAAGGAAGAGGTAGGCTTCCGAAACATTCTTAATTTTTTTATGATTTGCTGCGAAAGATAGAATTTAATTTCAGGACACCCAGCCCGGCTCCCCGGCAGGATTGCGGCAAGAGGTAGGCTAGCAGAGATTGTTTGAGGAAATGGACGTCCCCCTGAAAATCGCCAGTTTCAGGACCTCAAATTCCACCCAGCCACCGTTTCCCATCCGGCCGATCCCAAACCGGTGCTTTTTTACACCCTCATTTTTTTGTAAATCCTCATAATTTACATGGATTTTTCGTTGAATTTTTAATTGCCCACGATTTAGGCGAAACCGGCAGATGATTCGGGCGTGGTCGTCGTCGAGATGGAGCCGGCAAAGGTGAGTAGGGTCTGCAGCAGCCCCCAAACCGACCCTGTCGTACTGTATCTCGGCGTCCCTTGAACTTACAGAGCTGTAATGTACCAGATGGTTACAGTCGCTTCGCGACTGCAACCATCTGGCCTTCGGGCTACCCTACATGTCCCACTCCACCACATCCTTTCCCACCTCCATCAATACCCTCGATAGCCGAAATGCCGTTCAAAAACTACCTAAATACCTTCCTGATGGCTTCAGATACCCCGCATGGCTGAAATCCCCTTCTGAAACTACCTAAATACCTTCCTGATGGCTTCAGATACCCCGCATGGCTGAAATCCCCTTCAAAAACCACCTAAATACCTTCCTGATGGTTTAAGACACCTCCCCTAGCCGAAATCCCCTTAAAAAACAAAAAAAAAACGACCGACCGGATGGATTGAGAGAAAAAAAGAAATGAAATCCCCCGTGAAAATTTTCATCCACGAAACGCGCGCCACCTGGCTCACTATGTCCAAAATCACCCCAACATCCGTCCCCCCCTTTTACTAAGGAAAAAACTTTCAAAGTTAATTTTAATAATTTAAACTAAAACTTTTTCGTAATTTTTTTTATCAGTTTGGGGGTTTCTGACCACGCTCTATCCGAATCCGAAGAGAGCTAAGCTCTAGCTCCTTTCCCCTTCGAGTTGAATTCGGCTTCACACAGACGGACAGACAGACGGACGGACGCGTCAAGAAAATTATTATAGTTGATACCAAAATACTCGCCAGGGAAAGGCGAACATTTTGGTATGTTTTAGAGCTCTGTAGAGAACAGAGAGACCGAGATACGGTAGTTGGACGTTGGCTGGCGGGTCGGCCGTTATTCCAACTTTCAGCCACCGCCGCTACGAAGCCCATGGCGCACCAATGAAGCGTTGCAGCCGGTGCAGCCGGTGGCTACGGTATCCAATGGCTTCAGCGGCCCTTTAAAACGAATCTCCAGGCCCCGGAAGCGGCGCAGAAGCGAGCGGAAACCATCGTCGAACCGGAAGCGAAGCCTGTGGCGCCCCCCGTAACCCCGGAAAAGGCAAGCTAGCAGTGATTGCTTGAGGAAAATCAGACTGCCCAAGCGGAGGCAGGCTAGCAGAGGTTCCCTGAGGAAATTGGTTCTGTGCTGTTAGCGGGGGAGGGGGGGTTTCTGGGGGAACCACTTTCTGTTTCTCCACCTATTTACCTACCCCCCCCCGCTAAGAGACCAGAACCAGAAAATTTGGGCCCTCAATCTCAACTCCTTCCTGGTGGCCTCAACGCCAGCGATTGCCGATCCCAAACTCACGGCCGAAACGCCAAAACCCAGGTTTGTCGCGGTTTCCCCTTAGATTTCCGCAAATGATCCCTGCTAGCCTGCCCGTGGTTTTAGACCCGACCCGCCGCCCACCTCAACTCCCGCATCAGCTACCCCGTCCTCCGGCCCGAAGCGGCCACCCTCTAAAATTAAGCACATTTCCCGGAAGGTAAACCGAAGTCTAAGCCCAAGCCTAAGCATCCGTCTAAGCTAAGCTCAGCTAAGCCGAAGCAAAGCATGCTTAAGCACAAGCTGAGCCTAAGCCTAGGCTCCGCTAAGCTACCTCTCAAGCTAAGCCTATTCCAGAGCTAAGCCAAGCCGAAGCTAAGCATGCTTAAGCCCAAGCTGAGCCTAAGCTCAAGTCTAAGCCTGAGCCGAAGCTAAGCCAAGCCAAACTTAAGCCTACTTAAGCCTACTTAAGCCTACTTAAGCCGTAGCTAGCCTAGGCCTAAGCCTAAGCCTAAGCCCGACCCTAAGCCTAAGCCCAAGCTAAGCCCAAGCTAGGCCTAGCTAAGCCTAAGAATATGCTAAGCCAAGCCGACGCTAAACATACTTAAGCCCAAGCTAAGCCTAAGCCCAAGCCTAAGCGAAAGCCGTACCTTTTTCAGTCGCGCAGGAAGTGAACGAGCGCCGCGACGACGACGACGCGACGCGTCCCATTTACAAACGCCACCTCCTCCGCCAAATAATTCTCTATTCTTTTCCCGTTGTAAAAACATTTTTTTGTGTGTAATGTTCACTCGTTGTTGTGTCGTCTTGTGTACAGATTTATCCACAAACCCCGCCCCCCCTCTGCCCATCCTCAACTCATTTATCACTCGTTACAGTTCGCCGCGAATAAATGGATGCATTAAACGAGAGAGAGAGAGGGAGAGAGAGAGAGATAGAGAGCGAGAGAGAGGAGAGGGCGAGAGAAAGAGAGAGGGAGAGAGAGAGCGAGCGAGAGAAAGAGCGAGAGCGGAGAGAGAGAGAGAGAGCGAGAGAGTGAAGGAGAGAGAGAGCGAGAGAAAGAGAGAGGGAGAGAGATAGATAAAGAGAGAAATGGAGAGAGAGATTGAGAGAGAGAGAGTGAGAGATAGAGAGAGAGGGCGAGAGAGAGAGCGAGAGAGAGAGAGTGAGGGAGTGAGGAAGAGTTCTTATCTGCACATGATAGCTGTTCCTCACCAAAAACACTTTACTCTTACTCGGAGGCCGATGAATTCCAGCGCCCGGCATTTACGGCCAGCCGGAAGAATTTATTATTGTCAAACCGGCGGACCCCGACCCCGATTTTACTGCGGCTTTAAAACGGAAGCAGAGGCGTGCCTTGTTGATATCCAGCGGAACCGGGTACCTTTTTTCCCCTTTTTTGCAGATTACTCACCCGACTTGCGGCTTCACCTTTTTAGCCCAAATCAGGAGAGGGGAATTTCCGGCTGATAACGGGTCTCGCGGCTTTGGAATTTTGGGGGCTAGACTACTTGAATCCTTCCGCTTATGACCACAAAATGCACCGGGGGCGGTTGCTGATTGCTGCGTTGTGTTTTGGTGAGTCTACTGCCATTTCCCCAAAGCTCTCTGCTAGCCTGCCCTCCTCTCGGGGTCCGTCCATTTCCTCAAACAATCTCTGCTAGCCTGCCCTCCTCTCGGGGTCCGTCCATTTCCTCCTCCAATCTCTGCTAGCCTGCCCTCCTCTCGGGGTCCGTCCATTTCCTCCTCCAATCTCTGCTAGCCTGCCCTCCTCTCGGGGTCCGTCCATTTCCTCAAACAATCTCTGCTAGCCTGCCCTCCTCTCGGGGTCCGTCCATTTCCTCAAACAATCTCTGCTAGCCTGCCCTCCTCTCGGGGTCCGTCCATTTCCTCAAACAATCTCTGCTAGCCTGCCCTCCTCTCGGGGTCCGTCCATTTCCTCCTCCAATCTCTGCTAGCCTGCCCTCCTCTCGGGGTCCGTCCATTTCCTCAAACAATCTCTGCTAGCCTGCCCTCCTCTCGGGGTCCGTCCATTTCCTCAAACAATCTCTGCTAGCCTGCCCTCCTCTCGGGGTCCGTCCATTTCCTCAAACAATCTCTGCTAGCCTGCCCTCCTCTCGGGGTCCGTCCATTTCCTCAAACAATCTCTGCTAGCCTGCCCTCCTCTCGGGGTCCGTCCATTTCCTCCTCCAATCTCTGCTAGCCTGCCCTCCTCTCGGGGTCCGTCCATTTCCTCAAACAATCTCTGCTAGCCTGCCCTCCTCTCGGGGTCCGTCCATTTCCTCAAACAATCTCTGCTAGCCTGCCCTCCTCTCGGGGTCCGTCCATTTCCTCCTCCAATCTCTGCTAGCCTGCCCTCCTCTCGGGGTCCGTCCATTTCCTCAAACAATCTCTGCTAGCCTGCCCTCCTCTCGGGGTCCGTCCATTTCCTCCTCCAATCTCTGCTAGCCTGCCCTCCTCTCGGGGTCCGTCCATTTCCTCAAACAATCTCTGCTAGCCTGCCCTCCTCTCGGGGTCCGTCCATTTCCTCAAACAATCTCTGCTAGCCTGCCCTCCTCTCGGGGTCCGTCCATTTCCTCAAACAATCTCTGCTAGCCTGCCCTCCTCTCGGGGTCCGTCCATTTCCTCCTCCAATCTCTGCTAGCCTGCCCTCCTCTCGGGGTCCGTCCATTTCCTCAAACAATCTCTGCTAGCCTGCCCTCCTCTCGGGGTCCGTCCATTTCCTCAAACAATCTCTGCTAGCCTGCCCTCCTCTCGGGGTCCGTCCATTTCCTCCTCCAATCTCTGCTAGCCTGCCCTCCTCTCGGGGTCCGTCCATTTCCTCAAACAATCTCTGCTAGCCTGCCCTCCTCTCGGGGTCCGTCCATTTCCTCAAACAATCTCTGCTAGCCTGCCCTCCTCTCGGGGTCCGTCCATTTCCTCAAACAATCTCTGCTAGCCTGCCCTCCTCTCGGGGTCCGTCCATTTCCTCAAACAATCTCTGCTAGCCTGCCCTCCTCTCGGGGTCCGTCCATTTCCTCCTCCAATCTCTGCTAGCCTGCCCTCCTCTCGGGGTCCGTCCATTTCCTCAAACAATCTCTGCTAGCCTGCCCTCCTCTCGGGGTCCGTCCATTTCCTCCTCCAATCTCTGCTAGCCTGCCCTCCTCTCGGGGGTCCGTCCATTTCCTCCTCCAATCTCTGCTAGCCTGCCCTCCTCTCGGGGTCCGTCCATTTCCTCCTCCAATCTCTGCTAGCCTGCCCTCCTCTCGGGGTCCGTCCATTTCCTCCTCCAATCTCTGCTAGCCTGCCCTCCTCTCGGGGTCCGTCCATTTCCTCAAACAATCTCTGCTAGCCTGCCCTCCTCTCGGGGTCCGTCCATTTCCTCAAACAATCTCTGCTAGCCTGCCCTCCTCTCGGGGTCCGTCCATTTCCTCCTCCAATCTCTGCTAGCCTGCCCTCCTCTCGGGGTCCGTCCATTTCTTCAAACAATCTCTGCTAGCCTGCCCTCCACTCGGGGTCCGTCCATTTCCTCCTCCAATCTCTGCTAGCCTGCCCTCCTCTCGGGGTCCGTCCATTTCCTCCTCCAATCTCTGCTAGCCTGCCCTCCTCTCGGGGTCCGTCCATTTCCTCAAACAATCTCTGCTAGCCTGCCCTCCTCTCGGGGTCCGTCCATTTCCTCAAGGAAACTCTGCTAGTTAGCCCTTTTCAGCCACCTGCCTCGAGGCCGCGAATTTAACCTGTTCCCCGAGCAAAATCTGGCTCGATGTGGAGATCCTATTCGACAGCTCGAGCGCCACGAATGCGACCGGCTATTTTTCGGTTCGTTGCAAATTGATGACGTAATCGGTTAGGTAGGAGAGAGAGAAAGAGAAAGAGAAAGAGAGAGTGAGAGAGTGAGAGAGTGAGAGAGAGAGGGAGAGAGAGAGGGAGAGAGAGCGAGAGCGAGAGAGAGACAGAGTAAGAGAGAGAGAGAGAGAGAGAGAGAGAGAGAGAGAGAGAGCGAGAGAGAGAGAGAGAGCGAGAGCGAGAGAGAGACAGAGTAAGAGAGGGAGATAGGGCGGGGGAGAGGGGGCGAGAGAGACAGTCAGAGAAAGAGAAATTCTTCAGATGATCAACCAAGTGAAGTCGGCCTTCCAGGGCGTCACCCTTGGCCAAGGGCTACGGTAGGTGGGTCACGGTTTAGACAATTTTTAATCGGGAATTCAGGTACCAAACCCGAATCGGCGTCATCGCCTACGCGGCCGCACCACGAAATGTCGCAAATCTGAAAGATTTCAAGTCCTACGCCGATTTTGACAACCTCGCAATCCCGTATCTGCCAAGCGAGGTATCCGATTTGACGAGGTGCGTGTTTTTAAAGGAATCGGCAAGGCATAGCTCCAAATTTTTTGGCTATGGAATTCCTATGGATTTTATAGCCGCCCTGCCTTGCCCGTTCCTTTAAATAAATCTGAATTAAGTGCGGTTGACCTGGCGCGCCAAAAACTCTATGATGTCCAGGTGACAAATCGACAGAAAGTGATTTTGATCGCTTCGGAGGGATATCGGTCGGTTTTGCGGGCTAGCAGAGATTGTTTGAGGAAATGGACGGACCCCGAGAGGAGGGCAGGCTAGCAGAGATTGTTTGAGGAAATGGACGGACCCCGAGAGGAGGGCAGGCTAGCAGAGATTGGAGGAGGAAATGGACGGACCCCGAGAGGAGGGCAGGCTAGCAGAGATTGGAGGAGGAAATGGACGGACCCCGAGAGGAGGGCAGGCTAGCAGAGATTGGAGGAGGAAATGGACGGACCCCGAGAGGAGGGCAGGCTAGCAGAGATTGTTTGAGGAAATGGACGGACCCCGAGAGGAGGGCAGGCTAGCAGAGATTGGAGGAGGAAATGGACGGACCCCGAGAGGAGGGCAGGCTAGCAGAGATTGTTTGAGGAAATGGACGGACCCCGAGAGGAGGGCAGGCTAGCAGAGATTGGAGGAGGAAATGGACGGACCCCGAGAGGAGGGCAGGCTAGCAGAGATTGGAGGAGGAAATGGACGGACCTCGAGAGGAGGGCAGGCTAGCAGAGATTGTTTGAGGAAATGGACGGACCCCGAGAGGAGGGCAGGCTAGCAGAGATTGTTTGAGGAAATGGACGGACCCCGAGAGGAGGGCAGGCTAGCAGAGATTGGAGGAGGAAATGGACGGACCCAGAGAGGAGGGCAGGCTAGCAGAGATTCTTTAGGATTTTGAGACCATGGCTCCCAAATATTATTTTTAGACAAGGCCATTTCGCGAGCCCGAATGCTTCCGTGGAGACGTTCAAGCTGACTGGAGGGATTGTGGTGGTCCTAAGTCAGTATTATTCAAGCTTTATCAACAGTAATTTAATAGTTGTACACTAAAAAACGAGAAGAAACGATCAATATCTTTTCAGGCTTTGAAGACGGCCCAAAAGTGTCAAAGCTGCAGGATCTGGCGAGCCCGGGCTATTTCCTGGATGCGAGCAAGGGGCTGGACGGGGTGAAATTGGTCGGGTTGCTGTGTCAGGGTAAGTGAAAGAAGAGAAAGACGGTCGTGCTCCCTCCGCGTTTTTACATACCGTAACCGGTTGGCTCCTTGCCAATTCAAGATGAGGTGTGTTTAGCGCTGCGTTTTAGCAAACTACTTCTGCCCCTGTATCGGTGATTGCAGCGACCCGGGCGAGCACTTTGTGCCCGGCAGTAATGATATTGCGACCGGGTGCTTTTGGGTAGGTTTTTTGTCGTTTCCTCAAAAAATCTCCGCTGGCTTGCCTTTAGTATGGAACCGGCACGAGCACGCAACTTTCGGCAAGAGAAGCGTGCCCCAAGCTGGAGCTGCAGTCGACTTTGGCCCAAACGAAGGATATTTCCGAAGCACTCGCCGCGCTGAATCGTCGGTTTTTCGATTTTTTTATGTTTCTAGGGCTCAAATATGAGTTCTGGACTTTTAACGTACCTGTTGATGATATATTATTTATGTTATAATGTTTTTAATAGTTTTTGATTTCTGGAAAGTTAAAAAAATCTTTTTAAAAATTTTGAAATTCGAAAATTTTCACTTTTTGATCATTTTTCATACATTTTTGACCAAAAAAACAAATTGTCGAAAATTTTATTATTTTATGTTGTTGTTGTTATATCCAAAAGCTATCTAAAATACTATAAAACTGGTTTATATTTTGTTATAGGGCCGTAGAGAAACGCAGGGAAAAATTTGGTCCCCGGCTAACGGCCCGGAACCGAAATAGGTGTATACAAAATTGCCTTCATAATTCCTTTAATACCAAAAATCTTCGTTTTTTTCAGCATACCGTAGCGGTGAAGGGCGTACGCTGGGTGTGTGGGTTGGCCTGACAAATAATGGGAGTGCGGCGATACCGGATTGGCGATGGCTTGATGGGACACGAGTGGTAGGGTCAGAACAGACCACGAGCTTTTTTTGATTTTTCGATTCTAATTTTTCTTGAGTTTCTGAAAATAAATAGCGTATTTTTTTTCTTTAGCGTTTTTAATAATAGCTGTTGAGTGCTAGAAAGTTTAAAATACTCTTCAAACAATGGAACATTTTTTTGTTTTTCTTTGTGCTAGTTAAATAGGTACTTTTTTTGGAGATTTTTGAGTGCTAGCAGGTTATAAAAGTTACTTTAAAATTTGGAGATTCGAAAATTTTGATTATTTTTCATACGGCCAAAAGACCAAGGCTTTCGAAATGTTTTTAAAAAAACTTTTATTTTCTAGGTCCTTTCTAGCTAAAAACCGCGGAAAATCCTATAAATATCTTCAAATTTCGTATGGTTCTTAGGTGATACTAGGAACCCCCCCCCTAACAGTCCAGTACCGCTTAAAGCCAAAAATTTGCTACTTTCCAGGACCTCGGCATCGCGGCCCAACTGAAGCCGGCGAGCGACGCGGAAAAGTGTGCGTATCTGAAGCCTAACGGCGGCTTCTTGTACGAATACGATGCGTCGACATGCCTCGTTGGTCGATATTTTGCGTGCAGAACGGAGGCGTGTACCAGTGACTCCTATTGTGCGCCGACGTCACCGAGTTTTGCGCAGCAGACTTTCCGATAAATTATTTGACATCTAAAGACCGATATAGATTTAATAGATAATATCTAAAAATAATCTTCTAAAAATTGCGATCTTAATGTCGACATGTTTTTGGTACTGCTCTGTTAGCGGGGGAGAGGGTGGAGGCATTTTTAGCAAGGATGGAATCAACCTTCCCTAGGAATCCTATAGCAAAATATAAAGCATTTTTATAGGCTTTTACCCGGTTTTTAGATCTAAAAACTTCTAAAAACTAGAACATTTTGGAATATTTGGTCAAAAACGTATGAAAAAACCGCAAAGGTAAAATTTCCAGAATTTAAAAAATGTACTAGATATTTTTTTTACTTTCTGGCAATCTAAAACTACAAAAGCGTTAGCAAAATACACTATCAACTATAATAATTTTCTTGACGCGTCTGTCCGTCCGAAGCCGAATTCAACTCGAAGGGGAAAGGAGCTAGAGCTTAGATCTCTTCGGATTCGGATAGAGCGTGGTCAGAAACCCCCAAACTGATTAAAAAATTATGAAAAAGTTTTAGTTTAAATTATTAAAATTAACTTTGAAAGTTTTTTCCTTAGTAAAAGGGGTGGGGGACGGAGGTTGGGGTGATTTTGGACATAGTGAGCCAGGTCGCGCGCGTTTCGTGGATGAAAGTTTTCACGGGGGATTTCATTTCTTTTTTTCTCTCATTCCATCCGGTCGGTCGTTATTTTCGTTTTTGAAGGGGATTTCAGCCATGGGGGGTATCTTAAAGGGCTGCCGACGGCATGTGTCGATCCCCCCCATCAACAAATTGGCAAGTAGCCAACAGGGCAGAGAGCGCGTCCTGGGGAGAGGCGCAGAGACATTTTCTTTCCAGCGCGTAACCGATTGACTATGCCGTCGGCATCCCTTTAAAGAGATGAGGACGGCATCTGTTGAACCCCCCTTGGGGAGGGGGGGTTCAACAGGTCCCGCGGCGAGAGAGGGCGCCCAGGGGAGAGGCGCAGAGACATTTTCTTTCCCTCGCGTAATCGATTGACTTATGCCGCCTCTATCTCTTTAAGCCATCGGGAAGGTATTTAGGTAGTTTTTGAAGGGGATTTCAGCCATGGGGGGTATCTTAAGCCATCGGGAAGGTATTTAGGTAGTTTTTGAAGGGGATTTCAGCCATGGGGGGTATCTTAAGCCATCGGGAAGGTATTTAGGTAGTTTTTGAAGGGGATTTCAGCCATGGGGGGTATCTTAAGCCATCGGGAAGGTATTTAGGTAGTTTTTGAAGGGGATTTCAGCCATGGGGGGTATCTTAAGCCATCGGGAAGGTATTTAGGTAGTTTTTGAAGGGGATTTCAGCCATGGGGGGTATCTTAAGCCATCGGGAAGGTATTTAGGTAGTTTTTGAAGGGGATTTCAGCCATGGGGGTATCTTAAGCCATCGGGAAGGTATTTAGGTAGTTTTTGAAGGGATTTCAGCCATGGGGGGTATCTTAAGCCATCGGGAAGGTATTTAGGTAGTTTTTGAAGGGGATTTCAGCCATGGGGGGTATCTTAAGCCATCGGGAAGGTATTTAGGTAGTTTTTGAAGGGGATTTCAGCCATGGGGGGTATCTTAAGCCATCGGGAAGGTATTTAGGTAGTTTTTGAAGGGGATTTCAGCCATGGGGGGTATCTTAAGCCATCGGGAAGGTATTTAGGTAGTTTTTGAAGGGGATTTCAGCCATGGGGGTATCTTAAGCCATCGGGAAGGTATTTAGGTAGTTTTTGAAGGGGATTTCAGCCATGGGGGTATCTTAAGCCATCGGGAAGGTATTTAGGTAGTTTTTGAAGGGGATTTCAGCCATGGGGGGGTATCTTAAGCCATCGGGAAGGTATTTAGGTAGTTTTTGAAGGGGATTTCAGCCATGGGGGGTATCTTAAGCCATCGGGAAGGTATTTAGGTAGTTTTTGAAGGGGATTTCAGCCATGGGGGGGTATCTTAAGCCATCGGGAAGGTATTTAGGTAGTTTTTGAAGGGGATTTCAGCCATGGGGGTATCTTAAGCCATCGGGAAGGTATTTAGGTAGTTTTTGAAGGGGATTTCAGCCATGGGGGGTATCTTAAGCCATCGGGAAGGTATTTAGGTAGTTTTTGAAGGGGATTTCAGCCATGGGGGGTATCTTAAGCCATCGGGAAGGTATTTAGGTAGTTTTTGAAGGGGATTTCAGCCATGGGGGTATCTTAAGCCATCGGGAAGGTATTTAGGTAGTTTTTGAAGGGGATTTCAGCCATGGGGGGTATCTTAAGCCATCGGGAAGGTATTTAGGTAGTTTTTGAAGGGATTTCAGCCATGGGGGGTATCTTAAGCCATCGGGGAAGGTATTTAGGTAGTTTTTGAAGGGGATTTCAGCCATGGGGGTATCTTAAGCCATCGGGAAGGTATTTAGGTAGTTTTTGAAGGGGATTTCAGCCATGGGGGTATCTTAAGCCATCGGGAAGGTATTTAGGTAGTTTTTGAAGGGGATTTCAGCCATGGGGGGTATCTTAAGCCATCGGGAAGGTATTTAGGTAGTTTTTGAAGGGGATTTCAGCCATGGGGGTATCTTAAGCCATCGGGAAGGTATTTAGGTAGTTTTTGAAGGGATTTCAGCCATGGGGGGTATCTTAAGCCATCGGGAAGGTATTTAGGTAGTTTTTGAAGGGGATTTCAGCCATGGGGGTATCTTAAGCCATCGGGAAGGTATTTAGGTAGTTTTTGAAGGGGATTTCAGCCATGGGGGGTATCTTAAGCCATCGGGAAGGTATTTAGGTAGTTTTTGAAGGGGATTTCGGCTAGGAGAGGGTCTAAAGCCGTCAGGAAGGTATCGAAGTAGTTAGTGGAAGCAGGTAGATAGGTAGGTGTATTACATGGAGGGTAACCCGAAGGCCAGATGGTTCCAGTCGCGAAGCGACTGGAACCATCTGGTATTATTGACAGGTCGGTAGACAGGCGTCCCCCCGCTAAAGAATCAGTACCAACCAACTTTCGAAAGCCGCTTCACACCACCAAGCCACCACATAAACGACCCAGTTTATCACCAAAACGACAAAAAGCATTTCACAAAGACATTTGAAAAACGACACATTTTACAACACAATACAAGCCAAATACAGAGGGGGGAAATGAAGGAAAAGAATGGGCAGAAAGAATCAGTGCTGCAGGGGGGGAAGATTAAGCCGTCGCGTTGCCGGATGTGGCGGCGCCCGTCAGCGCGCTCAACGTCGTCTTAAAGTTCGGCAGCTGGGGCAGCTCGGCGAAGCGGGCCTGAAAGTTGCATCATTGCCAGGGCGATCAATCATTTGAAAGTTTGAAAACCTGATTAAATTTTTTAGAAAAAGCCATTTTTTGAACTTTTTTTGAAAAAATCCTTTTAGCCGCCAAAAAAGGCGTGGGGGCCACCTTTTTTTTTTCTAAGGGTCCAATTTCTTTAAAATAAGCAGAGAAAGTGTTTCTAAACTTTTTTTTGGCGCTTGCGAAACGCAAAAACTACAAATTTTCATTTAAAAAACACTAAAAAAAATAGATTTTTGAACAAAAACTGGCCGTTTTCGACCTAAAAAATCGTTTATAACCAGTTTTGATTGGTTTTCCACGTAAGTAAAATAGTTGGTCCCCCCGATAATGCGAAAGAATCGAGTTTTCAGAAGACCTTTAGAAATCGATAAAAATCTTACATCGACCCATTCCAGGCACGTCGCAAAGATGAACAGGAACTGCTGCTCCGTCTGCACCGAGCAGGCACGCTGGTCGCGCACCTTCTTGAACATCTCGAACGGCTGAAAATGGTCAGAATGAATGCCGAAAAGCGAATCATACGTCGACCGACTCGTTGGCCATGCATGCCGTTTTGATCCAGTGGATGAGCATGATCGTGCCGGTGCGGCCGACGCCCGCCGAGCAGTGCATCACCGTTTGGCCCTTGTTCAACTCGTCGCCGTGCTAAAGTCAAGAGTTTTTGGACGCGAATTTCGGTATACCTTCTCCAAAGCACGAAGAAAGCGGAGGACGCCCCGTCGGCTGGTGGGGACGCCGTGGTCCGGCCAGTCCGGCATTTGGATGAGCCTGGAAAAATCGTCTTGCACGCACAGGCTAGCCAAAAATTTTTTGAAAAATGCGCAATGCTCAACTTTCGGTCATTTGGCATATTTTTACCAAAAACTCAAAAATTTTCGAATTTTATTCCTTTTTTACAAGCTTTTTACATCGAAAAACTATGTAAAATTCTATAAAAATAGTTTTATTGGTTCTTTCGCATTATCGGGGGCGGCGAAAAGTTTTATTCAGTTATTTACTATTCCTAAACGTGAAAAATTTACACATTTTTATGGAAAAACACAACACAGAGTTTTCGACCAAAAAAAATGGCTTTTTGACTAAATTCGACTTTTGGAAGATTGGTCTTTCTGTTCTTCTAAAACAAGTTTTTAGATCGTTTCCTAGTTAAATCATAGCTCTTTTACCGAAATTTTTATTAAAACACAAAAATTATCCCTTTTTCGATCAAAACGGCTTCTTCAAAAAAAATTCTGCTCTTCTAAAAAAAATTTTTAGATCGTTTCCTAGTTAAAGCCTAGCTCGATTTTACTGAAAACATTATGAAAATACTTCCTATTAACTTACTATGCATTTCTAGATTAATATAAAGAAAACAATTGTCCCCCTCCCCCGATAATGCGAAAGAACCCTTTTATTTCGTCATAGAGCCCGACAGAATTACTAGGAAAACATCAAAGGTATTTTGCAAAAGTCCTCACCGAATAATGCGGCTGTTCGAGCACCCATCCGGCAACAGCTCGATCGTCATGGCCGTAAAGCCCTCCTGCTTCTCCTTTTTCTTGTTGTTGACGAAGAAGCGGCCGTGATTCTGGAAGAGGCCCGGCTCGTCCGGCCAGTAGGCAGCGCACTGGAAAAACGGCAAGAATCCGTTTTGCGCGCGGATCTCACCTTGTTCTTTCCGTTTTCGACGAGACGGCACAGCTGCACAATGTTCACCACCTCGTGCTCCCAGCACATGCGCCAAAAGTCGACGATGGTGGCGTCGGTGGGCGCCTGGGTGGCGATCCACGTCTCCCGGTTGTCCATCTAAATTGAAAAATCGAATTCGCGAGGGAGGAAAGAAACTTTTTAGCTGTTGTAACGGTTTTTCACCACAAAAAAAGGCTAATTGCCCTAAAAAACATTCAATTGAGGCTAAAAAGTTTTTTTTTCGCTGAAAAATGACCAAACGACTTTTCAAAGGTTTTTTAACTTTCTCTGCTTCCAACATAGTCAAAACTTACTAAAAACAGCATAAAAACGCTTTATTTTTGATTACTAGGCAAAGGAAAAAAAGCTATCCCACCTGGAATAAAGAATCAAATATCAATATTTCGCTATTTTGCGATAGAACGTCAAAAAAATACCCATCAACTTTTAATTTAGCTCAAAATAATATAAAATTTAAATCGTAATCGCAAAAACGAGCCAAATTCGGACAATTTCCTAAACGCTACCGAAAGTTTGTAGTTTTCAAACGATACCTTGACCCAATTGGCGTGGATGTAGTCGCCCTCATTGGCCTCTTCCGGGGTGATCTTGACGCGGGTCTCCTCCAGGCAAACCGTGTCCTGGTACCGATTCTTGTCCGGGTTCGCGGTGAAGGCGGTGGTGGCTTTGTTGGGGCCCGCGTACGGCTTCAGCTCGACCCATTTTGCGCGGAGACCGCTCAGGCCTAAACGAGTTGATAAAGGTTAAAATTAGAGAACTGAAAATCCCCAAAAATATACTAAAAAGAAAAAAACGCAAGAAATTCTAGGTATTTCTACTCTACGAGTTTTTTTCGAATTCTTTAGCCGCGCAAAGTATCGCAAAATGTTCCCCTCGTTAAATACTAGAATTCCACATACTTTTTTAAGCGACATAAATCAAGAAAAAGAAATAAGGATAAAAAAGGAATCACAAAATCATGTAAAATAAAAAAATACGGTAAAATCCTGCCTTTTATCGAATTTTACAGCCGCGCAAAGTATCTCAAAATGTTCCCCGCGTCAAATCGAATCAAACTCGACGGCACATCGTTTTTTTTAAAAACAGAGAAAGGAAAAGCAAAGAAAAGTAGTTTGTAAAGTAAAGAAAAGCAGTTTTGGCCAGACCGCCACGCCTTTCCCCGTCGTAAGTGTCTAGAGGCGCCTCGCGTCGCTCTTTTCCCACAAGACCATAGTTACTTTTGTTATTTTCTAATAAAAATATGTGGAATCCAAGTATTTAACAAGGAGAACAGTTTAAAGCCCAGGCTAGAGCGATAAACTAGCGATAACTAGCCAGACCTCCCAGCCGCCCCCAGCCCTCCCAGCCGCCCCCCCCCCCAATTTTTGTAACTCGGCTCCCTGTTCATCTACAGGTGTGTAAACTATACCAAAATACTTGCCAGAGCAAGACGAACATTTTGGTATACTTTACACACCTGTAGATGGACAGGGAGCCGAGATACGGAAGGTTGGGGTTGGCTAGGGGGGGTATCTGGAGTTCAGCCCGTAAACCCACCAAGGCCCAAGGTCAGCTTGACGAATTCGCGCGTGGAAGCGTTGGGAGGCTGCGGCGGCTTCTCTTCCTTCTTGGCTGGAGGCGTAACCGCGGGCGCTGAATTGTCCTTTTGAAGCGCCAAACCAAATCGAATCGAACCGGCTTCACGTGAGGCGACCTTGCGGGGCTGGGGCTTCTTCGATTTCGGAGTCGGGGGAGCCATCCGGGCGGGCGACCGTCTTGGCCGGGTTGGCGAGGTAGCAATAACGGCGACGAGGCGGCAACCATTTTCTACGGGGAAACGCATGTAAATTTATTTTGTCTATTTCCGGAATTGAGTATGCAGATTTCGTAGGCAGATTGAGTTTCGGTTAAGCCTTTACTTTATCGCCCCACGCGACGTTAAATTGTTGTTTAACAGCTTGTCCGAATTTTACTTATTTTTCCTATACTTTTTCGTATTACTTTTTACTTTTCATACAGACTTTGAGCTGAAATCAAAGCGGTTAGTATACTTTTCAATCGATCGATTGGCCGCACTGTTTTTGTATAGGTCTAGAAATTCCTATTAAGTGAATAGTAATAGTTAGTATTTTAATAGCATTTTTGGTTGAATATAACTATATTTAAGCTAGAGAAGCTATCTAAAAACAATAAAAATCCAAATTTTGGTAAAAACCGGCCATTTTTGACCCCGAGAGGAGGGCAGGCTAGCAGAGATTGGAGGAGGAAATGGCGTCATTTTGTGGTCAGCAACCTTGTCCAGCTGAGCCATTAAAAAAACGTCAGAAAGAAAACAATTTACACGCGCGTTTTTGGCATAACAAATTGGGGGTGCCGGAAGGGCAGATTTTAGGGGTTGTGGCGAGAGGCATGGGGCAGCGGAAGATACGCCGAGAAACGCGAGATTTTGACCTTTCTTGGGGCACGAATAAATAAACAGACAGTGCGGCATAGATAGGCTTTTGACGGGTGGAAACTGTTGGATATATAAACTGGCAATGAAGCATCAACAAGCAGATCATTTTTCGAAGCGACAGTTTTTTAAGTAATTTTATTTGAAATTTAACACTATTCATTACTTATTCATTCCTATAACTATATCTGTTTTAAAAGTATACATTTAACTTTAGATTTTAATCTATTAAAAGTTGCTTTGTCAACTAAAGACAAAAAAAAGGTTTTTAATTATCAAAGTTATTTTCACGCAATTTACGTTTTTTTTTTGGTCTTTTTCTATTAGTATATTTTAATTTTCCATCTTTATACGATTTTTTCCTCGTTATAAAGATTTAATTTTCAGAATGAAGTGCTCGCTTTTCTTTTCCGCCGCCCTGATTGCCATTGCCGTGGTTGGTGGCTTTTTATGTTTTTCTGGGCCTGGTCTGTTAGCGGGGGGGGGGGGTCTTGTAAATCCGAACGGCTTGATAACCAAATATTAATTCTTTTTCTTGCATTTTACACTGTTTTTAGATCCAAAAAGGACATTAAAAATTTTAGCTGTCTAAAATTTTTCACGTTCGATCAAAAATCTCAAAAAAAAATGCCCAACAAGGCGAATTTTCGAATTTAATTCCAAATGTTTGACAGGATTTTTAGCTACTAGAAACACTATAAAATAATTCCAGGCGGATTACTGTACGACGGACGCGGACTGTGAACGGATTATTGGGGCACGATGCGCGAATTCGCGGGCCATTTGTCAGTGCATGGATAAGGCGTTTTGCACGCTGAAAGTGGTGAGTTTCTCTCTCTCTCATTCTCTCTCTCTCTCTCTCGCTCTCTCTCTCTCCCTACTCTTTTTCTCTCTCACGTTTTCTTTCTTTCGCTCCCTCTCTCTCACTCACTCTCTCTCTCTCTCTCTCTCTCTCTCTCTCTCTCTCTTTCTCGCTTTCCGCTCTAAAAAAATCTCATTCCAGAAATGCAACCCTGCGCACGGTGACGCCGACTGCAAAAAATTTGACATTTGCGCCCTCGATTCGGTGGTAAGTACTTTTTAGTATCTCGATTAATGATAATTGGTCGAAAAGCAACAACTAGCAGAGATTCTTTAAGGAAATTCAGATCCTTAGGCAGGGCAAGCTAGCAGAGATTCTTTGAGAATTCCGGTGCATCAAAAGCAATTTCAGGACCGCGCCTACTACTGCCGGCGGGATCTCGGCGGGACCGTCTCGCCCTCAATTCTCCCCAGATTTAAATTCCCGCTCCCATTGTAAATTTTCTAAAAATGCGTAATTTTTGATGACTGTACAAAGTGTAATGAATTTGCATAAATATTGATTGGACTGTTGAAAACGCCAAAAGCCACATCCCCAAAGATCTCTGCTAGGCAGCCCTGCTCCAGCGTCGTGCAAGCTTGCAGAGTTCCTTCAGGAAGCCGGGACCTCAGCTGCCCTATAGACCTTGGCTCGCTGACCACTCTTCGGCTTATCGGGCAGCCAGCCCGTCTGGGTTTCGACGCACTGAAGCCGTTGCGGCGAGAGAGAGAGAGAGAGAGAGAGAGAGAGAGAGAGGGAGAGAGAGAGAGAGGGGAGAGAGAGACTGCGATGAAAAAGTAGCCCACCCCAAAAATGGTGATAACGCAGTGGTGGCCGTCCTTGCTGCAATCGGGTGGGTGCCCGATTTGTTGTTCGAATTTTCGACTTTAATTAAGCGAATTTAGAATTTACTTTTACGTTTAATTTTTAATAAGGCTTTAACGTTAATTCTGTGATATTTATTCAGATGCACGCGATGTGGATCGCGACGATAATCATCGGCGTGCTGCTGCTCGGTGTCGCGCTGCCATTCAGAATGTACGGTAGCTTTGCTAGCGTCTAATGAAATTTACAAAAATTAATTTGGTAAAAGGCTAGCAATTTAGCAGAGCTACAAAGTTTCATAGTGCAGCCCCAAAGAGCCGCTTTCCAAAATTTGCGAGTTTCCAGAAAGGAAAGCTCGGGTCAGTTGCTAACCTCAAATTTGGGTTGTTCCGTAGAACTGACTACAGAAGTTAACCCGGCGGCTATATTGGGGTAGTGGGCCAGGTGTGGGGCGAGTCGCCCTGCAAAGGAAATTTGCAGCAATAAGCGTTTTAGCTCTTCACAGAGCCACTATCAGGCTAGCAGAGTGGATTTTCTAGTAAAAAACCATTTTTGGGCTTTAGGGGGCAGGCCAGCAGAGACTATTGAGGGCATAAGGTATTTTTAATGCGCAATTTTTTCACCAAACCAATCGCATAGAAGGGTTTATTCGTAGGATTTTCTACGACAGAGTAGACTCCGGGGGAGGGCAGGCTAGCAGAGATTGTTTGAGGAAATGGACGGACCCCGAGAGGAGGGCAGGCTAGCAGAGATTGGAGGAGGAAATGGACGGACCCCGAGAGGAGGGCAGGCTAGCAGAGATTGGAGGAGGAAATGGACGGACCCCGAGAGGAGGGCAGGCTAGCAGAGATTCTTTGAGGAAATGGACGGACCCCGAGAGGAGGGCAGGCTAGCAGAGATTCTTTGAGGAAATGGACGGACCCCGAGAGGAGGGCAGGCTAGCAGAGATTGTTTGAGGAAATGGACGGACCCCGAGAGGAGGGCAGGCTAGCAGAGATTGTTTGAGGAAATGGACGGACCCCGAGAGGAGGGCAGGCTAGCAGAGATTGTTTGAGGAAATGGACGGACCCCGAGAGGAGGGCAGGCTAGCAGAGATTGTTTGAGGAAATGGACGGACCCCGAGAGGAGGGCAGGCTAGCAGAGATTGTTTGAGGAAATGGACGGACCCCGAGAGGAGGGCAGGCTAGCAGAGATTGTTTGAGGAAATGGACGGACCCCGAGAGGAGGGCAGGTCAATTTTTGAGGGCCTGGGGGTCAAGGTCCTTCCCCTCTCCCTCCCCACACGCCCTGTGGTGTACTGCCAAAGTGCCCGCCCCTCGAGCCCAACTACCCGGGTTCGACCCCCGGCCGGAACAGCCGTGTTGCAAGGATGACTATAGATTATCATTACCTTACCAACTGTCAGTGAGGAGAAGGATATCTGAGCAATATTTTTGCAATTTTTTCATTGTGCGGCAAGATCGATCGAAAATACCTTGTCCACCCCTTTAATAGTCCAGTTTTCCCCAAGAATCTCTGCCAGCCTACCCCCATTTTTTAGCATAAACAGCGACGCCCCGGGGCTACGCAGCAGTCCGAATCGTGGCCGACACGCGCGCGACGCCGGGCGCTGGATGAACGACGAGCAGGCGGCCATATTGAAAGCGGTCGGTTTTTGTATAGCTTTTACATAGTTTTGCTTCAGATTGAATTATTTATTTTGTGTAAAAAATGCGAATCGGCGTCAGCGGCACCTGAACATTAGCTATTAAACTTAACTGGTCCCTGTCAACCCCAAATTTCTGCGAAACACTATTTTTGAACGGTTACAAAAAATGTTGTATAGTTGGCCTGGCAGTATATGAAAAGCGTTAGGTTTTCGTAGCATGTTTCACAGTTTTGTGACAGAGTGAATTATTAATTTTTTTTAATCTTGACATAGGTTTATGTTTTTTCTAGAACCTGCTAACTATACATGGGTCGACGCTTGCATGCGCTGCATAAGCGTGGCTGACCACGCTCTTCCGGAGCGTGGAAAGCCGCGCTTATGCGGCGTTTTAACATGCTTTTTGACGCTCGCAATTTAACTCCAGATGCAAATCAAAAAATAAAAGGAGATATATCTACGATTTCGATTTGCTAAAATGAAATACCGATACTTAACTATCAAGTACATCTTTGAATTTCATAAATAAACATCATATGTAGTGATTCAACTTCTTGTTACTTAACTTCTTGAAAACGTATCGATATTTCAGTTCATGTGCCTTGGAAAACGTTGATTTTGCATCTTTGGAAACTTTGCATCAGTGTTTCCGGAGCGTGGCGGGCCACGCTTATTTCGGCGTGGTTTATTAAGAAGCACGCGCGCCAGCGTGGCTCTCCACGCTCCGGAAGATGCGCTTATGCGGCGCATGCAAGCGTCGACCCATGTATCAATCAACTATAATAAAAAAGTCCGTGTGTGTGAAGCCGAATTCAACTCGAAGGGGAAAGGAGCTAGAGCTTAGCGCTCTTCGGATTCGGATAGAGCGCCGTTAGAAACCCCCAAACTGATAAAAAAGTTATGAAAAAGTTTTAACTTAAATTATTAAAATTAACTTTGAAAGTGGCGCCTTAATAAAACGAGTGGGGGCCCCCTCTCCCGGCTGGCCACGCCCCTTTCCCTTCGCCCCTCTTCACCAGGCCCTTTCCCGCGCCCAAATAGCTTTTTAAGTTACTTTGATACTTTTTAATTATGTTAATTCGTTAATTAAATCATTTAAAGTATCGGGATGGAATCTAAGTAGTTTTTGAAGGGGATTTCGGCTATGGGGGGTATCTGAAGCCATCAGGAAGGTATTTTGGTAGTTTTTGAAGGGGATTTCGGTTATGAGGGTTTTCTGAAACCATCAGTATATGTATTGATGAAAGTAGCAAGGGATGTGGTGGTGTCGAATATGAAGTGGAGCCCGAAGGCCAGTCGATTACAGTCGCGAAGCAGCTGTGATCGGCTGGTACTGCTAACGCTACATTAGTCCTTTCTGGTCCGGTTTAACCCCAAATTTCCTTGAAACACACTTTTTGAAAACGTTTCCAAATTGCGTTTTCTAAAGTTGGTCTGGCAGTCTAACGAAAAGCGTTAGATTCTTGTAGCTTTTTAGACAGTTTTGCGACAGTTTTAAGGATCGTTTTTTATTAAGAATTCACAGAAGTTGGGTGTCTCAAGAAAGGCGAACTAGACTTTTCCGGCACTTGGCGATCCAAAATTTCCTTGAAACACCGTTTTGAAAACGTTTCCAAATTGAGTTTCTATGGTTGGCGTGACAGTCTAACGAAAAGCATTAGATTTTTGTAGCTTTCTTTACAGTTTTGTGAGAGATTTAAGTATGGTTTTTTATTAAGAATTTATAGAAGATGTAGGTCTCACCAAAGGCGCATTAGTCCGGAACTTATTAGACGTATTAGACTTTTCCGGTACTTGGTGATCCCAAATTTCTTTGCAACACAGTTTTAAAAGCGCTTCAAAATGGAATTTTCTAAAGTTGGCGGGCAGTCAAATTAAAAGTAATCGGCTTTTTGTAGCTTTTGCACAGTTTCGTGACAGCTTTCATTATTTTTATGCTGTGTTAAACTTGCGCATCTGTGTTCTCGGCGTTTGTGGTTTTACTAGACTTCTCTGGTCCCGTTTAACCCCAAATTTCCGCGAAACACTCTTTTTGCACGGTTTCAAAATATTTTTCTAAAGTTGGCCTGGCAGTCTAACGAAAAGGTTAGGTTTTTGCAGCTTTTTAGACAGTTTTGTAACAGCTTTGACTATTTTTATCCTGTGTTAAAATTGCGCATCTGTGTTAGCGGCGTTTGTTTTTGTCATTAGACTTTTCTGGTCCCGTTTAACCCCAAATTTTGTAGAAACACTGTTTTTGTAGGGTTTTAAATGTTGCTAAAGCTGGCCTGGCAGTCATATTTAAAGCGGCAGGTTTTTTATAGTAGTTTTATATACAGTTGTGCGACAGATTGAATGTTTTATATATTTTTTAAAAAGCTTAACGTAGTTTCATGCTTTTCGAAATCCTGCTAGCTGCTGATTAGGTTTGTCTGGTCCGGTTAGCCCCAAATTTTTTCAAAACACAGTTTTAAAAGCTCTTCAAAATCGATTTTTGTGTAGTTGGTCTGGTAGTCATATTAAAAGCGGTCGTTTTTGTAGCTTATTTCCAGTTTTGTTTCAGTTTGAATTATATTTATTTTGTGTGAAAATGGCGCCTCGGTGTTAGCGGCTCTTGTCATCCTGCCATTAGGCTAGTCTGGTCTAGAGATGTTATTATTCAACTAAGATATGCAAGCAACTAACGTTCTCGCACTAAGGTTCGCCGAATGCCAAATTTCCTTATTCAATTCCGATTAACTTAACCAAATCAGCAAAATCTTATTCAGATAGGCGCGTTTTAGTCGAATTAGCCGAGTTTAGTCGAATAACATGCTAATGAGGATTTTGACGAGGAATTGCTATGAAAAAATGGAAATACCCGGAAATTCTGTTGATGGAAATCTAGCTTTGCCATATTTTAGCAAAGCAAAGTCAGGACTGAACTTATTCGGCTAAGATTCGACTAATTCAACTAAGCTTAGTCGAATTACGGATTCCGTATTCAGATTCGTATGTCCGTAATCGATTAAAGAATGCTTATTTGAATATGAATGAGCCGAATCGACTTAGTTGAATTTCCGGGTTAGTCGTATCTGAATAAAAACATCCTTAGTCTGGCCCCGTTTAACTCCAAAGTTCGGCGAAACACCGCCTTTTCATGCGTGCAAAATATATTTTTCTAAAGTTGGCCTGGCAGTCATATTAAAAGCCGCAGGTTTTTATAGCTTTTTCGCACCGTTTTGTGACAGATTTGAGTATTGTTTTCTTGATGAAGAATTTACAGAATTTGTATGTCTTACGAAAAACGTATTAGACTTTTCCGGGAATCGGTACTCCCAAATTTTCTTGAAACCCCGTTTTTTAAAGGCTTCAAAATTATTGTTTTTTTGAGGCTTGACTAATGTAAGTGAATTATAGGCTGCCCGGCGCGACGCCGCGCGCCTTTTATTTCCTGTCGCATCGCGTGTTGCGATGCGCGTCAAATTCATGCGCGTAGAGCGTCATATTTCGCGCAGCGTCGCGCTACGTGTCGCGTCGCGTGTCGTGCTTTTCTAGGGTGAGCGGGACGTGACAGCGGCGCTTCGTTGAATCGTGCGTCACACTGCGCGTCACGTGTCACGGCGCGCGGTTCTTCTCGTGTCGCGTAGCGCGTTTCATCTCCTGTCGCGCTGCGTGTGGGCTGCGCGTCAACTTTCGTGTCCCGTTCCGCGTCGTTTCCTTTCGTGTGGCGTCGCGTGTCGCGTGCGCATCTCACCTATCGCATTACATGTCAAGTAGCGCGTTTCATTTCCTGTCGGGTTGAGCACTTTTCATTTCTTCATTAACCCAGAAACTACTTCATTATATCCTATCCTATAAGCGAGAAAAGTATGTCTGTTTTCTGTACAGCCGATTTCTCGGCCGTCAGGCCGAATTTCGAGCTGATTTTTGGCACGGAGGTGGAGAAACACATTTGTCAGTGATGCATTTTTTTGTTTTGCGAAATTCCTTCATTTGACGATTTTACAACCAAAATAGTGAAAAATCCTTAACATTTCGCTGAAAAAAAGGTATGTCCGGAGGTTTTCTCGGCCGCTAAGAGGAGTTGGGCGCTGATTTTTGGAGGGTGAATGGAAGAAACAATTCTCCCGATACTATTTTCTGGATTTTGCCAAATTCCTTAAAATAAAGTTTTTATGAGCAATTTACTAGAACGTCCTTAATAAAATGGCCACAGTCCCGTGGTGTCCGGGCCATAACTCGACGCCCAGATGGAATTTTGGGCTGTAATTTTGTCCACTTATGTATTCGATAGTGCGGATCACGCGCAAATAGTTAGTTTTTGAAAATATTGTAGTTTCATCGCATACAACGCAAATTTGTAAAATTACTTTTGGTCAGCTCCTCAACGCCTAATGGAAGTAATTGGCTGACTGAAAAGATAGAGCAAAACGTGCTAAATCTTTCCCTTTTTAAATTTTTAAATTTGGTTGAATTTCCGGGGCGATAGAGCCGTTTTTGTTCCGGAGAAGGGCGCCCTTTCGGGGCGCCCGGGGAGTGCCCCCTGTGTGCCCCTTAGCCCGTCCCGACTAGCCCCTCACCTAACCCACTCCCAGGTGATAACTCCCAAGGTCTTGAAGCGCTGCCGGGTGGCTGGCCGAAAGGTTAACACTGAACAGCCACCTTCCTAGAGCGCCCCAGCGATGGGTGACGAATTTCTGGCCGATACGCTCAAGGGGGAGTCGTCCTCCGATGGCCATACAAATTTAAACGCTCGCTCCCTTGGGACGCCAAGGGGTTCAGCTAGCCTGTTGCTGGACAAGCCAGACCCGGAAGGGATGGTTCGGCCTGACGGTCGTAATGTCGGTCCTGTTGGCACCAGTACCGATCTGCCGGACCCGGTAAGGGTGTCGGAAACAGCTGAGCCTCAGCAGGGTACGAAGAAGAGAGGGCCTGCCGATTGGACCCGAAGAGGTAGCAATACCGAGGTTCAATTGGCTGGGCGAGTAGCGGCACCCTCCAGCTGTTTTCCGGGACAACACCCCGCGGCCTATCCTCAAA